TGAACGGGAAGTAAACCACGTGACGCACAATCAGCGGGGTTGTCCGTTGAGGGAACGTAGCGCCAGGAGTGAGAGGGGATCAATTCTTGGACTTGAGCAACTCTGTTGGCAACATACGTTTTAAGTCGATATGAGGGGGTGTGTAACCAAGTGAGGGTTATTGATGAATCACACCATAATGTAGTTTGAGAAAGGTCAATATTTTCTTTGAAAATTGTACAACAGTAGGTTGAGTTTTGCAAGTAAGTATGCACCACATAGTTCCAAGCGGGGTAGAGTAACACGTTTCAAAGGAGCTACACGTGTTTTTGCGATAATCTGACGAGTGATGATTTCTACAGTTGAAAACTCACAGCGGAAGTATAAGACTGCTGAGTATCCTACTTCGGAGGCATCTGAAAATCCATGGAGTTCTAAGGAACATGTGGTAGTGAATTGAAACGAGCGAGGGATCTTAATCTGCGAAAGTAGAGAGGTTTCGTCAACAAAAATGTGCCATTTTTCGGTGAGTTCATTTGGAAGAGTGTCATCCCATTGGATACCCTGTGACCAGAGCATTTGTAAATGAGGGTTTTTGCCCACATGGTCACGGGTGACAAAAATCCGGAAGGGTCGAAAATGCGTGCTATAATGCTCAACACTGATCGTTTTGTAGGAGGACCATCAGGGAGACTTAAGTTGTAAGTGAAACAATCTGAAATGGGTGACCAATGTAGTCCAAGAATGGCAAAATGAGGGTGATTAGTGGCTTCCAATAAGACTGGTGTTTCTAGATGATCTTGAGGAAAATCTTGGAGTATTTCTGGGCAATTGGATGTCCATTTTCTTAGCTCGAATCCAACACGTGCAACAAGTTCGATCAGCTGATCTCGTAGTTCTTTAGCTTCGTTGAGTGTATGAGCTCCACAGATGACGTCATCCACATATGTATTATCCCGGTAAAACTTTGGCTGCTGCTGGGAAGGACCCTCCTTCGTCGTCAGCAAGTTGATGTAACGTTCTGATGGCATGGAAAGGTGAACTGCTTAGACCGTATGTAACTGTCGTTAATTTGTATGTGGAGATTTCCTGAGTCTTTGGATCATGCCATAAAATTAACTGATACTTCTGGTCGTCAGGATGAACTTGAATGCAACGATACATTTTCCTTATATCGCAACTGAACACATAATTATGTGAACAAAAATTCAACAACATGTCACAAATGTCAATTTGAAGTTTGCGACCGGTTAAAAGAATATCATTTAGTGCGACACTGGTACTGGTTTTGCAACTACCATCAAAAACTGTACGAAGTTTGGTTGTACTACTGGTTTCCTTCAGTACACCGTAATAAGGCAGATAGTAGTGTGGTTGTGAAAGATCGGAAGGGGATGTTTTGACCATGTGTCCGAGATTTTCATATTCAGTCATAAACTGTGTATACAACTCCTTGAAATTAGAGTTGGTCGTTCAATTGAGTGAAGTCTGTGTTCAGCAGCAGATTTTGAAGTGCCCAGTGGTTGATGTTGGTCCTTGAAAAGGAGTCGAACCACATATGTTCCATCTGGAAAGCGGGAGTGAGTTGATTTGAAGTGATCTTCAGCGATGCGATCGTCTTCAGAGAAAAGATTGCACTGCGGTACCTCTTCTTGTTGCCAAAAGCGAAGTAGAGTATTATGTAGCTCGTCTGTAGTGGAGAGTAGAGACGAATGGCATGAGATGGGAGAAGAGTTAGACAAAGTTGGAACATTGCCCATTAACACAAATCCCAATCGTGTTCCAATAACGAATGGAAGGTTTGAGCCCAATGAGTAGGATTGAGGTAAGAGAGAAGAGGTTTTTTAGGAGTAAGAAGTTCTGGAAACAAAGCACCTCCTATGAGAATGTCAATATTCTGAGGTATATGAAAGGTCGGATCTGCGAGGACAAAAGGTTTTACCAGTTCGTAAACCTCAAAAGAGAGTTGAGTACGAGGCAAAGGAGCGGAAATTCTATCTAAAATATGGAAAGGTTGATTTGAAGCAATTACTTCACTGCCTAATGTGGATAGTTCTAGGAGTGCATGTCCCTTTGTCGAGGATTGCAATGCAGAGATTCCCACGATTGTGTGAGTAGAGTGGTGACAAGAGACGTTTAATAGCTGTGCTGCCCTCTCTGTCATGAAGTTGAGTTGACTTCCACTGTCGAGCAGACATCGAAAGACATGAGAGATTCCATTAGTAGCGGTAATTTTAATGAGAGCGGTGCCTAGAAGTACCGTAGTTGCAGGCTGAGAAATCGAGAACGACATTTTTGGTTGAGCAGAAGCAGAAGCGACTACAGAGGGTGTAGCAGTTGAAGGTTTTGAGGGTTTGGCTACAGGAGGAGACTTTACAACATTTTCGAAGTGTAACAAGGTGTGGTGTTTTTGTTTACATTAAGACATGTGCCTGTTGAGCAACAATCTTTGACTGTGTGATTGCCAAGACATGAAATACATTTATTTTGCTCTTTTACAAGTTTGTAACGCTCGTTTCGAGATTTCTTAGCAAAAACCTTACAGTGTAGATTTTGTGATCAGTTTGCTGACAGGCAAAGCATGATGGAATTGTCTTTACAGTAGTGGAGTGATCATCTGAGCTCACAAGTGCAGTATAGCGGGTGCTTGGTTTAGAGTAATTTTTATTAGATGTGAGAGCAGGCTTTGAGTTAGCCTTGTGACAAAAAGTTGAAGAGTGTAGGTTAGCATCTTCACTGTTTGAGCATTCTTCATTGAGAAATTTAATGATTTCGTCCACAGATGGTAACGAATGAGTTTCACATGATTTAAATGAGCGGTAATGTTCAAGTTTTTGCCGTAAATTTCTATCAAGTCTACAGAGCAAATGAGCTGACAGCAAAGGATTGTCATTGGTAGTGATGTCACTTTCTAAAGCAATAAGTGATTGTGTATGTTCCAGGAAATAATTTAGGAATTCACGTATTGATTTTGTATTTTCAGATGTAGCAATGGGAAGATCTAATATAGCATTTAAATGCAAAGCAGTTAAGCGTTGTGAATTAGGCTACTGTGATCTAGAGAGTGAGAGAGATAGAGGTACGGTACAGAGAGAAAGTACATACACAATATGCGGGAACGACAATGAGAGTTTATGAGGTTATATTCGTCTTTAATCTTCACCAAAAGTCCAAATAATTATTTCAATCAATTGGTTATCAACAATCCGACGCGAACGGACCAAAGATGTAGCGTATTCTAAAGGTTATTTTAGAAATAATAAAAGTGGACTGTATATATGGGCTTATTAATTTAATTTTGCAAAATAACAGAAAATAAAAATTATGGACTTTTGGTTTGATTTTGAATTTAGTCAAGGTTACCACACATGAAGTTCTGGAAGGTCTAGATGATGTAGGCCTACAAGTAACTTGTGTTTCTTCTGATGAACCAATCTTCAAAATGACAGTTTTTGAATTACACACACACAATTTGAGTTGAAAATAAAGCGGTCAATTGATTATACAAAGATAGAGTTTTGAATGTAACAATGTAAGAGAAGAAAAGTGAAAAAAGGTAGACAAAACTATGAGGAAGGTAAAAGACATTGCACTGTTAACTAGAATGTATATATTTTCAAATCTATATATTAATACTGCAAGCAGATTTCTTTTCACAGTCATAACTCAATAAGGCTTGATGGATTTTAAAGTTTGAGGTGTCAAATTAAAGGTATTTTCACGTAGATGTGCAAATACGTCTAAGAATATTTGGAAAGGGCACCACTTAAGTACAGTTAAGGGCTAAAGTTTGGAAGGCGGCGCCATCTGTTCATATTTGATTAAACTCATTTCCCTTTGTTTACAAATAACATATGGACTAGTTTGAAATAGTTTTTAAGGTTAACCACAGACTGCAGGACTTAAAACTTCCAGAGCAAAGCTGGAATTTATGTTTTGTTTCAATCTGTTAACTAAGTCTGGTTCATACAAAGTGTTTAAGAATAAATTTAATTCTTTTTAGTTTTTAAGTTTGACTATAGACTGCAGGGGGCCATTTCATAATAAAGTACAAACTAATATTATTAGTAAATCAGCTGATCGCCCAATGCAAATCTAATGGAAATTACAAGTTACAAGTTGTAACTTGTAACTTGTAGTTTATTATGAAATGGGCCCCAGGCAGGACTTATTGATTCCAGAGCAAAGCCGGAATTTTATATTTTTATCTAAACATCTGTTAACTAAATCTGTTTCTTAAATAAAAAGTTTCCTAGCAAGACTTGTTTGTATTAATGAATTGTTGTGGCCATGTGGGGATTTTTTAATATGCTCTGTCTCTCTCTCACACATATGATCAGCTGACCTTTTAAATACTGAACAGCCTACAGGTATAATCTATCATCAGTATTTTGTATTACAAAATTCTTAACTGATCTAATAAATAGGTATGGTATAGGCATTGAAAATTAAAAAAGTCTACACTTTTCAAATTTACATTTTCCCTCTTTAATTGGAACAAAGATTTTCTTGCGTTTGCGCAAACCCCATCATCAACGCTCCTAGCGGATAATATAGGAACAGCTATCAGGAGTAGCAACTGAACTTCATTCCACTAAAATAAATCATATGACGTTATCTTATTTATGGGGTATGGGTATATCATTACACGTAAATCCCCCCCCCCCCTACTCGTGGTTATTTCTATGGTATAAATTATATAATATAATACCATTGAGTACTTAAATCTAAAAATTTTGTAGCGAAAAGAGGGCGAAAATTCAAACATCAAAAGGGAATTTACATTTATGACGTTTGCTAACCTGATAGGTCCAGCAGCCTAGCCCCAGCCAGAGCCAGCCACTCAGCCAGCTGTGATTGGAAACTTCACTGTACTGTCACTCACTTCACTTCACTTCAGCATCAAATTCAATTCACGTCACAGAGAGAAGTAGAGGAACCGATTTTGCTTGTAGAAGCAGAACAAAACACATCTGTTTTAGAAGTGTCTGCTAGAGGTGATGTTATGTTATGTGGTTTTGAAGTGGGAAAACACGTATTTCAAAATGTCAACACCATAAAGTTTCGTGAAAAATTTGTTTTATTCGTTTAGTGTGATTGTGTTGTGACAAACTCAAGGTCCAAAGACATGTATTTTGGTAAAACTGATCAGGGTTTTCCCATACATTGTTAGTTTCAGAGTGTTATTTGTTACTTATTAAAGTTACTTATTGTTGCTATTTGAACATGGCAAATGTCACTGGCCCTCCTTCCCTTGATTCCGAATATGACGAGTATCTTGCCATACCAGACATAGATGATGATGGAACACCATACACTGTTACAGATGGTTTGGGAGGAAAATGTGATCTTGATGATATCCCACTTGGTAAGTTTTTCTTTTGTAAGTTAAATCAATTGTTTGTATATATAGGCTACTAAGTTAACATGAGCTATTTAAAACCTGTAGAAGAATGGTTATGGCGAGCGCTAAAATAGTTCAAGCCTAATAACTGAAAACATCTTTAAATGAACCTCACAAAATAGTTTATCACCTTTGCCATCTAATCTTCCCAGAACTTTATCTTAAATGTAAATACTGTAGTTAGGCCTAACTAAATATTGTGGTAGGCTAAGTTACCTAATTAAAATGTTTTAAGTAAGTTTAGCCTACAACAATTGACCTAAGCTATTGAAATTTCTTTCAATAAATTTTGTTTTAGGCCCTATGTTTATTTAAATTTTATTAGTTGTGCAATCATAAAGCCTATATTTATTCAAGGTTTTCAAGTCATATAACTTAAAGGTACCTATGCAAGATTTAAAAATCCTTCAATGTTTAGTAATATTCCTACTTATTTTTGTATTGTTTAACCCCAATCTATGGAATCAGCCAGTAGCCTTTTCCTTCATGTGCAATACAGTAGGCTATCAGGCTTATTTTAGTCGATAAATCTATTATTTAAGCCTTTTGTGCATTTAGGATCACGAGCTCTTCCATTCAAAAATGTACACTTGCCACCTATCAAGTTTAAGTCACCTCATAGAAGAATATTCATTTCTAATGAAGAGATAGAACTGCAATTTACCGATTACGAAAGAAGTGTCACTACTCATCTTCTGAATCCTAACCTGTGAGTAATGAGAATATTTACAGCTTGTATTATCTAGGCATTTAATGGTGGAGAGTAATCCAAAAAGTGATCCTTGGAGGTTGTTCTAGGCCTATTTAATTCTAGTCCTGATCACTGACTGCAAGAGTATAGATTAAAAATGCTACCGTACTGAATTTATTAAACAAGATAAGCCCCTAATTTAGGTTTGGCTTTAAATTCTGTCACGATTAGACAGAATTTGAATTTTTATTCAAGTACGGAGTTAGTTTTTAGCTACGCACATCATTCAAGAACCAATATATTAGGTAACTAGAAAATTAACATGAAATTACTTTAAATTAGCCTGATAAGCTAAATCTAATGAAAATATTTTTTAAAAACGTTTCAGTTTTCATACAAATTAGTGTCTGTCAAAGCTTGTGTCCTAAATAATATCTTATTTTACAGATCTACAATCTTCATGTCACAAAGAATTTATGATCTGTAATTAGGCCTAGTTGAAGTTTTTTTTTTGTTTCAGCTTGTTTGATATTAACAATAAAATATAAACTCTGTGATATCGTGAAGTCAAAGAGCAACAAGGCAAAGCTGTATTTTGCCATCTTCACTAAATTGCTTCTTATATTGCCCTTGAGCATTCATTCTTGTTTGCTTTAAGAGGCACATATTTGGGTATATGGTTGAATTTTACTTCTTTTCAAATGTAAAAAACCATACTGTCGCAGAAAAAGGGAACGTTTAAATAATTGATAATGTGAAATCATTTAGGTGTACTATAGAGTGTTAGAATAACCACTAGTTGCAACGTTATGGAAGTAGGTAACCCTAACGTTTTGAATTTGCAAAGTAAATGTTGTAATGCTTATCAAGGTCATATTTACAGTAGAACAACTGATGATGTAAAAAGCAAACTTAAAGATGAGAGAAACTGAGTTATTTAACGTAGGATTTTTAGGGGGTTTTAAGACAAGAAAGTGTTTGTCTTTAATAGTTTTCAAATAATTTGGAAAATGTGTACCAACAATATCCAATCTCCGTAGTCAAAGTATTTAACAATATTTTCAATTATTATGAATATTGTTGATTAAAAAGAATTATCTCATTATCATTACCTACCATCAGTTGCGTAGGCCTAACATATTTTTTTGGGTCCTCCTGCAAACTTATTTTTTGGGACCCCTCTCATGAGTTGTTTTTAGACCACCGATACAAAACATAATGAAACAGATTCATCATAATAATGTAGTAGTAAATAAATGATGGGTATAATGTTCTATATATTGGTATTTTAGTCATGGGTTTGATGATAAAGTTACATTACCGGTACTTCATCATTATATCAGTATCAGTATTTGTAAAAGTTTTTAAATAAAATAAAAATACCTTATTTTTTTATCCGTAGGCCTATGTATTATGATTTTTTATATTTTTTATTATAATGTATTTTAAATTTCATATCATGGAGGTTTTATAATTTATTACACATGTTATCAATTATTCATTCGGTTAGTTTTTATCGATGGTAATAATTAACTCATACACTAATAAAGTTGGTTAGTATAATAGATTGACGTACCTTTATCACAGGCTAAAATAGCCAATTGCATTTTTTTAAATGTTGTCTTTGTATGGATTTCAAGCGTCGACCTTACGAACATAGGTATGTCTTTAGTATTGATTAATTGTGGGATAAAATAAGATATAGGCTAACAAACAAAGCTACTAGAGTAGCAATATGTTGTATTTAACAATTTAATTTAGCCTAATACAATTAATATTAGGGCAAAACTAAAATGTTAAATAATACAATATTAAAAGCCCCGCAGTCTACGTTCATGACTCCAGGCTCCATTTAACTTAATGTTTCAAAATGTTTGCAGACATAAGCAGTGTACGCAAGCATAGGGAAGTACTTCTCTGTGAGGAAAGTTAGATTTGCATAATAATCAATGACCCACGTTATAAAACGTTAGATTTGTACTTAAGTTCGTTATCACTGAATAGGCCTAACCAAACTAGACGATAACAACATATTATTAATAGCATTAATGTTAATACTTATCAATAAATCAATGTTAATGGTATTACTTGATCAATACATAAAATACATTTCAATAAGAATAAACTCCAATATTTCACCCCACTCGTCTCAAGCAAGGGCCTCTTTGCTCGCCGGTCTCTGTGCTCCATTTCCCGCTCACCGGTTTGTGGGCCCCCCCCCACATTGCGGGCCCTGCGGGCCCTTCTGTTACGCCTCTACCTACCATAAGACAGATACGCACACCTAGATGCATATTTTAAGCTGAATATCCTATGCCTGCTAGGTGAGTTGATGGATGGAGGAGATGATCTGTGTAGCTTTGTTACTTCATTAGCCAGGCTCATTTACCTAAAGCCCAATGATCAGGGTGATGTGTTCATTCCAAAATTACTGGCTATAAGTTTTTTATTAGTTAAACATTTGTTTTTATTTATTATTGTTTATATGATACAGTTACATAATAGAATTGTGATTAAGTAAAGTAAAATTGAGTTACTTCCAGTGTTACATTATTAAAATATCTAACAAATGGTGACAAGAATAATGGAAGATTTAGAAAAAATAGCAGAAGATGTAGGCCTAAATAATGTTACGAAATTTAAATCATTGCGAAGACCAGTCAGGTTTCAGCTAGGAAATGTAAAGAAGTTATCCACGGACATAGGAACATTTTCTATCAATGAAATCAAAACTATAGTTCGGCCGCTTAGAAAGCGACCTCCTCCAGCATTGGTTTAGCATTAGCGCGCAGGTCGTTTTCTAAGCGGCCGACCTATAGACTTGACTTGTTAGCTAAGATTAAATCAAAGTATGACCTAATTCAAGACAAGATCGACTTCTATACAGAAGAAGATTTAGAACATGAGCTGACATAGAGAAAGTATTGAAACCATGCCGATTGATACAAAAACTAGATTAATGGATGCTCAAATGATTCATATGCCTAGTATACAGCATAACTCTATTCCTAATCAAAATGATTGTATCGATTCAAATCTACATACTAATACACCAATTCCAGGCCTTCCTCCTTCAAATTTGAGTTTGCTCCTTACGATGAAAGAGAAAACTTTTCTAATTTTGCCAGAAGAATGGAGGTTTTTATGACTTTGAAAGCTATCAATGATTCTAAATTAAAGACTTTTACACTTTTACATGCCTTGACACCTCTTTTACATCATAAACTATACGACCTGTCCTGTGTACACCAGACAATCCTATGAATAAAGAGTATGAAGAGCTTGTAACCTTACTTGACAACTTTCTAGATCCTAAGAAGATGGAAAATAAATTTTGAATTTTTCTACAGAACTAAAAAGGCTATCAACAAACTACAAATTTATTGCAAAGCTTGTGGAATGTTTGTATTAGATATGCTATTACGACTACAACTCATACAGGGACATACTGACAAAGACATAAAAACTCAGCTGCTACAAAAATGTGACCACAGACAATTCGTAGAAATCCTTAATACAGCTACTGTACTACGATGGAACTTTCAAAACAGGAAGTCCTATGATATGTCAAAAGTGTGGAAACTTAGACATAAATCAACTAAAGTCTAATGGACGATTTCACGGATCCAGAACAAAATTAAACATCACAGGATCTTATACAAATAGTAAATTTTGTGTAACAGATTTTGAGTCACTGAAAGGGAAATGCTACCAATGTGGGAATGTAAACCATAGAGTGAATGTTTGTCTTATGATTGATGAAACCTGTAACACCTGTGGAAAGATCGGACATGTATGTCTAAGTAAATATAAAATCAGTAAAGGACAAGTTCATTACACTGAAAATAATTACATTTCTGAAGATAACATCCATGAAATAAATTTACTGTCCAACAAAAAGAAGGATGAGAAATTTCACATTGGTATAAAAGTAGAAGATAAAATTGTAACTTTTGAGTAGGATACGTGAGCATCACTTATATCATTTTCTTATGAAGATTACAAAAGACTATTTCACTCCAAAAGACTTCTCTCTAGAAGTACTCATAAAGGGTTGTTCAAAGTAAATAGACTGATGTTTGGGGTCAAGGTTGCTGGTTGGTTTGCTTAAGTGTCACATTATTAAAATATCTAACAAAGGGACAGCTGGGTACAGTTTCGAATAATAAAAAAAAATACCAACTTTACTCAGGATTAAATTGGCAACCTTATGATTTCGAGGAGAGCGCTATAACCACTCAGCTACTCAGTTAACTATCGATTAAAGTTTGTACGTACCTACCAATATTTCCAATTCTTATATCGTTTTTACATTAAAAATTAATTAGGTAGGTACCGTAAGGATTGCAAGTTTTAAAAGCAGCGTTGCTTCACATCTTTACAGTATAAAATAACCTGTAACACAAAAACACAATATAAATATTTGTGAACTAATGATTAGAAAAATAAATATATTATGAAAATTAAACCCATAAACCAAAAAGATCAAATGCATTTCAATTAAATGTTCACTATCCACACTCTCTGGCAGTGGCCCCTTTGGATGGATACCATGACCATATACAACCAAGAGACAGTTTGTTTAGTGCTTACTCACAAAGTCTAAAATTGGAATTTGTGAATTTTAATCTGCACAAAATTGGAAAAAATGTTAACATTAGGCATAGGGTATACATTAACATAACCAGAGCTGTTTTTGGGTGATAGTTTCTGATCATTATAATTAGGCTTTTGTTGTATTGTTGATATAAAAAAAACTTTAATATTTTACACAAATTGGACTTCTTTCCAACATTCTTTCTGATGGTCAAAACTCTTTTAGGAGGTCAAGTACTCCTTGGTACAAAAAACTAAATATGTTTTTGACACAATCAATCAAATTTGTTTTTAAGAGGTTTTTGACAGTTTAAAAGCATTTGAGTACTATATTACTGAATCAATTATACCGTGCATCAAGTATTGTATCAACAAATAATCTTCTTCTCACAGCCATTTAAGTACTTGACATTAAAATTAGCTTTTATCTTAAGCGATTGACACATGTATTATTTTACATTCTTGACTATTTTTGGTATACTGTTCTACAATTACCTATCTTTGGCATTTTTAATTTCCGACCAAACTAAACTATTATTTTAATTAACTCCCAAAAGACGTAAAGACTTATGACTTATGATTGTCTATTAATAACCCATATTTTTCTTTATTATCTATACAGTGAAATCCAACATAGTTGGGACTAAGTTATGCTTTTAGTAGTTTAATCATTCACATTTGAGGGTAATATAAATCAAGATTTTAGAAAAGAACATATTGCAGTGGTAAACACATTTTTTATCGCACTTGAACATTGCTTGGCACAAAAATTACTTTTTTTTACTTAAAATTTTATGATCAATAACAGTTTGTTAGACATTCGTAAGAATCGGCAGATTTTAACATATATACTACATTTAACATATATACATTTTAAAATTTAACATATATATTACACTAGCTGGCCCGACAGACGTCGTCCTGTCCTAATGTGGTTTTATGTCAGATGCTCGTTCATTTTCAAGATGAGCACGTTTGCATTGCTCAATCACGTCCTGGTTGAAGTTCGTTCGCTACGCTCACTCACCTTTAAGTTGGAGCTCATTTGCTACGCTCACTTGCCTTCAAGTTAGCTCGTTCGCTACGCTAAATCACCTCCAGGTTGAAGTTCGTTCGCTACGCTCACTCACCTTTTGGTTGAAAATTAGCTGTTGTCATAATTAAAAAAAAATAATGGTGCTGGACCCTGTTGGTAAACCTATACAATTTTTAATACTATTGAACATCACAGAATCAAATTCTTTAGTTGAACGTTAAGATTCTTTAACTCCATTTAAATATGAATACTCATAAGGTTAACATTGGAAATTCCAGAGCCACTGCGCGCGTAGCCCTTTTGACGGATCTGCACCAAACTTCACACAAACCATCCTTGAATAATGCTTAATAATACCTGAAGGTTTCATTACAATCTGTCGAGCGGTTTCGGAGTCCATAAAGGACAAACAAACAAACAAACATACATTGGATGGATTTTATATATATAGATGTAACATCTATATATATTTAATTCCGTAAGTGAATCGGTCCTCACGAAATATCTCGAGCTAGGAAAAAGGTAGCATGACTGTTGAGGATTCATTTTAAAACTGAAGTTTAACATGTAATGCTCTCAATATCAAATTTAAACGTCAAATACATATTTAGGAGCTAAACCTGTTTTGGGGTAACAACAATAATTTGTATATATTCATGATTACAATTACCTAAATTGAGTAATGATCTTTATAATTTCTTAATTTCCGCTGTCAAAGCAAAACTTCAATGGGATTTCAAAATTTCTATCAGATTTCACAGTGATAATACAGACGAGTCAGATGTGATTGGCGTTTTGTCACAGGAAGTGACAGTTTTGAGATCAACGAGAAGGTCAACCGGTTGTTGGGTCATCAGCTGACATACTGAGGTCACCAGCAATGGTTGAGTTGTACAGCATTCTGGCCTAGCTCGGGCTGTAACAAGTTGTTTGGCATGTTTATTACCATCCCAACCAGTGTTTTGACTTACTCAGATAACAGATTCAGCCAGTTAACAAGTCACGGTTCAAATGATAATGTGCTGTAATAATTTCATACGCCTTGATAGAGGAGTTTAATATATAGTTGAATATGCAGTGTAAACAAAACATTGCTACTGGGATGGGTAAGAAGCACCCAGTGTTATAGGGATAAGTTCAATTCTCAGCATAATCATAAATATTTGAGGGGTTTGATCTGCTTTTCCTCAAAAGTGTTTAGTTTTCTCTAACATGCATTACAACTAACAATATACAGTAAATATATTTTGGAAATGAAAGAGTTTCTTTATATTTTTTCTTGCACTATTCAAGATCTTTTAAACCGCTACCTACCACCAGTCAATATTTTCTCATTGATAATTTACTCTTTTAGACTGCTCGAATTTATTTCATTCCAATTTTATTATCATAATGCAGAATTTTACCAAAACAAATTAGATGTGGGACTTCTGTGCAAGGGACCTGGGTTCAAATCCTGCAAATCACCAATGCTTTTTAACAATGTGATAATATAGTTCAGAGCCAGTGTGGCTTTAGGTCAACCTATATGACTATTAAATAAACAAAAATGAGGTCTTTCAGACGAGAGAATTTTATCTGCTTTGGAGTACTCGCCACTAAAAGCCATATGGTGATTATAATTTTCACCATACTCGAATCCCTTCCTCGATGTTTATTATCAGGAAAATCCCTGCACTGTGTGTATATTATCCTTGTATGGCTGAATGTGAGTAGTCGGGATGTGTTGCTCGGCCTGTGTGGTGAGCTGTGAAGCTGTGAGTTGCAGTGAGAGTCGAGGTCACATAATGAGCTCAGCCAGCGATTACTAACTCAGCATACCTCTGACATCACTCACCAACTCACTATAATAATAGTGACTCTGTAGTCTTTTGTGGCATCCAATACTGTAGGATTGTGGTGAAAAGAATTGGTGTATGTTTTCAGGGAAACAATAGATTTACCTACTTTATAAACATTGAATTTGCAACACAAAAATGTTAAGATTTGATAATTGGACAGAATCTTAAATCATTAAAATAGTTAAGAATAAAAATGAAGGTCAACAGATTGATTAGACATTGATTCTAAAAGAAAGATATTGCGCTGAGAAAAGATGGATGAACTGTAAAAGAAGTCCTCTCTACAAAGACCATTTACAATTTAGAATCTACAACAATTGATATGATTATACTAACCTCACGTCATGTACATAGTAAATTACATGGAATGAACGTGATGAATGCCTTCGTTTTCACTATTTAAAATGCATAGAATTCATGAAAAATTACTTTAATCAAAACAACACTAGAAAAGTCTTTTTGTTGATTCGGAGCCCCTAAAAGATTGGTTGTCTGGGCAGATGTTTCCGCATGATTTTTTCCCCTGAAAATTAGTGAACACATTTTACACCTACCTTAAAAATAAACAACCGTTCTTATAAGATATTATAAATAACTTTTAATTATTGTACTGTATTAATGGTTTGTTATCTTTTACAGTTTATAAAATTCCAGAAAGTTTGAGGAATTTGCTTGGTAATATCTGAAAAATTGACCGATATAAAATTAATTTTAAAGTAAAAAAAATCTTTGATCTTTGTTATTTGGTCTATACAAGCGTTTGATATTTTCAAATTGATTTGTACAGATATCTGCAACTAACTATGGCATTTAGATGACTTGGTAACCAAGTATTTTTTTAATAATTTTTATACGTTTTAAAACCTCATAGATCAACAACTAAAATGTGTCTGCCAAAATAACCATTGCAGAAATTAAGAGAAATTTATTGAATTAAATACAATTAAGTGCTTTATTGTCGCTAAGAGTTTTGGCAGTCTATGTTTAAATTTTTATCACATAACACCATTGTACCTTTGTGAATTGTGAACTTCAGTAGAAAATATGTTTAAAGGCTATTATAAATACCTAATGTTTGGTGAAAAATGCTTCTTAAAGTTTTTAAAACATTTTTATCTTTAGCTACACTATTGAGCTGAGGCACGGAGACTTCACATGGACTTTGAAGAAGCGATATAAACACTTCCACCAACTCCATCAACAGTTGAGGTTATTTAGGTAAATAGAAATTTAATTGTTATGCAGGATTATTATTTTGTGCTTCTGAATTTTGACATTACAGTCTATGTGCTCCCTATGAAATCTCATAATTCCAAAATATCTGTAGAAGTAGGAGGCTGCTTGGTGGACTAGACTGCAGCCAATGTTATCAGAAGTTATCTAGCAGCTCTGTGAATTGTGTAACCTTGACACACCTTTGATGACCTTCCATATCTTGTCCATGACTTCCAGTCCCCCCCCACCCACCCCGTCACACTCATCAGGCCCCTAAGATGTACAACTTCTCATACAACCAAGATCATATGCTTTAATTTCATTTAGTTATTCAAGTGTTTGAAAATTTCCATTCAAATAATTCATTGTTAACTGATAGTAGAAAGGGTACTTTTCAATTAAATTTCTAGATTCTACTAAATAAGTAACCATATTTTATACATCATATAAAAGAGGCCGCCAACCTCTTTAAAAAAAAAAAAAAAAACTATGTTAACCTAGCTTTCACCTAAAATGACCAAACATAAAAAACAAAATTAAAGGAATAAGAACGTTTGGGATTATCAAGGTAAAATGGACAACTTTTGAATCTTGAAAAGTTATGATATATTTAATAGATCCCTAGAAAGAGATCACTTTCTTGCTATATGGTTTAATTTTTTTTTTTATTCACTAACAAAAAGTAGGCTAATAATAGAATGTTAAAGAAATATACTGCTGTATCTCATCAAAAATGACACTGTAGGGGGGTTATAGGGCTAAACATTTGTTAAATGTTAATTAATCAAATACACAGTATCCATTTTTGATCATGATTATGTTGACCAAAAATTTGTTTTCAACACCTATAATGTTTACAGCAAACTATGTGTTTTATTAAAATACTAGTGTCCCTGTTGCTCGAATTCGAGCAATTGCTAAGTATTACAGGTGTTATTTTAAAACGAATAACAGTCATAATTTCTGATGACTTAAAAATATTTGACTCAAAGTCTATGGAAATACTCAAGAAGTATATAACAGATTATATCATTTTATCTAGGCTCTCTCGCTTTTTCCATTGTAATATTTACGCCAACCCAAATTCAAATAGTAAATATTTCATTTCAACCAAGTCAGTAAATTTTTGTAGCAAACTTATTGACTGTTTACAATTTCTTCTCACTTTTAATTTCTGACAACAGCTGGAGTTTCATAACAATTTTTGTTTCCCATGGTAATCTTATGGAGAAATACGAAACTTTAAAGGGCCCCAGGGCCTCACTCTCTAATTATTTCCATAAAAAGAAAGTTTCCTGCACAACTTCACGTTACGCTCTTTCCAATTACACCAAAAACATGTCAATTGGTTCAGTAGTTACGGAGGAGTAATTGTCACAAAAAACCTGCTTGCGTATTAAATAAGTATAGATGTGTTACTGTTTCAAAACTTTTAAGAAAGCCTTTTGACATCAGTCTGAGACTAAATCTTAACAATAAACTTTATCTACAATGTAGTTACAGGATTATGGTGGACACGACCTTGCACTTCTCTGTAACAACTCAAGATAAAACTGCTGACAACAAATTATGACTATACTTTCTGGAACTCCTAGTCTTACTCCCTAGCTTGTTGTTTGTACTCACTATATATATATATTCCAAAATATAAAAATAAAAATTTCAATTTTTTAACTTTCCACAAAATTATTTATATAGGTACCGGTATATATTTCATTAAATCCAATCCCAAGGTTTATTAGGTCAATGATAGCAATCAAGGGCACAGTTAAGCTTTTTACCCGTGGTGGCAATGTCTGCTGCATGGACTGGATATTGTTTTAAATTTGGCGTTAAAAATTAAAGCTTAAGTTTATTAATAAATAACTTGTTAATATATCATACCAGCATAGATGCCTTAGAAATAACTCATATTGTTCTGTTAATTATTATGCTTATTATGTTATGATAAAAGTTTTAGTTTTAGCCTCATCAATATCAAAGAACTAACATTGTCACTAAAAATGTTTGGGGTGACAAAAAGTGATAAAAAGTTAATTCTGAGGGTGGTAACAGCAATCCCTTGCCACCCTTTAAAATTACACCAAACCTACTTAAAGACTTTCAGGATGTAGACTTACTTTAGAAATTATAGATTTTATTCTTATTCATCACCCTGTTGCTTTCATTGAATTTCTATATTTTGACCTTTTATCTTAAGTATAATATTTTGTTATTGCGCTTTTGATAATTTAACACCCTTAGTTATATATTTTTATAAACTGTTTTTATGTTTAATTGTTTGCTGTTGGTGATCCTTTTGAAATATTTTAAAATAATTTAAGAATTTTTATTTCTTTGAATTATTTTACCAGTAGGCTATATTATTTTATCATAATTATTGTTGTCAATAATTTTGTAATTATATATTAAATTTTATATTATTTTTGTTTATGATAATTGTACTCAATATTGTCAATGTCATCTGTTTTTCTACCTATGCCGATCTTGTGAAATGTAATTGAATGACAATAATGCTCTTAATCCTTGATCGTTCAAATTAACTTTTTATACATTAGTAATTTTATATTCTATGTATTTCAGAGCTTCACTCAACATTCCATTTCCCACCAAGACACACAAGGAACGCAGAGAGAGCGCAAAACACATCGCAACCCACAGCAAAGGAGGCACATCAGGCTCACTTCCTAGGTAAGACAAGCGTCCATCCTCCTGACCAACAAAACTGCTGGTAAGATTAGAATAGATTTAAACAATGCCGACATACCAGAGTGTGCTTTTTCCAGGAGAATGTGATCGTTGTATGATTGATCTTTGTTGCTGACTAAGGTTAGTTTATTGATTGCATATGGTCAAGGATCAATTTCAAACCACCAAGAAGTTACTGTTATTTTAAGAATTGACAACCTTTTCATTCCTAGGCGAGCCCTATGTCCTATGGGCCTAGCCAGCAACAAAGCTACACACACATTCTCACTGTTTTCTACACCCTGCATTTACATTATGCTTAAATTATGAACATATAATGTGTTACGGTCTTGAAGTCATTAATAGGTGCTCAGGGCCTGATTATCCGTTAGGCTAATTAGGCTGGAGCCTAGGGCGCCAGTCAGCCAAGTGTTTTAAGGGGGGGGGGGGGGCAGACAGCTAAGACTTAAAGTTGGACCGGGGGTGTAAAAAATGCTTTATTCCAAAAAAAAGATTTGCGCAGATAGGGAATGAGGCGGAGGAGAAGGGTACGTTCAGACATCTGGTGCCTTTAAATCAATTTGCCTAGCTTGCATAAGTATTGAATCAAATGTTTATGAACATTCGAGAATAGTGACAGATTTTCATTATCATCTTATATATTTAAAAAAATTTGTTTTCCTTTTCCGACTACGTATGGCTCTTCTACCCGACCGATTTTCATGATTGAGGTCTGAAATTGAAGGTGTGCACGCACAGATTTACCATCAAGCATCAGCATAAATGTATCTACAATCCCACTCTGCTTATACGTTAAACGAAATTTGATCCCCATGTATTTCTTATGGGAGTTAAATTTGGTTTATCTTTGCCGAGTTCGTTTGGCTATTCTACCCGACCGATTTTCATGATTGAGGTCTCAAATTGAAATCCGAAATGTAATTTTGTTTATGTTATAGGGTCAGTGTAAATTTTACATCGTTACAAATTCTTTTAGACGATCTTTATTTTATTGTATTACTTTGCAGACTTATAATAAATGGATTCACAACACACCCTTAAAGTCTAAGGCTTACAACAATTAAGATTGTATCAGCAGTGAATTTTCTACATTGCTTACTAAGGATTATAGGCTCATAATGAATTAGTAGTTTTGGGTTATAATTAACGACTCATTGATATTTTATCTTTACAATAAATGATAAGTGTTATCATGCTTTGAGATATCTAATCCAATCATCGATAATAAATTGCCCTGATAATAAATTGCCCTATTTGATATCCGTCAATATAGTTTGTTTTCCTGTCTGAGTATTTCTTACTTTAATTTTAATGTTTTGTTAATTTTGCTGATACTGATATAGCTACTTCCGTACACCTTTACTTAAAATGAATCTAAACACACTCCACAACCTTATAATCATACATATTTATAGAACTGAAGGTAATTGAATATGATAATTTTTTATTTTAGTAGCAAACCAATCCTTTGGAACTTACCCAATTAATTCTTTATGACTAATTTTGGAATATGTTTTAGAATACAAAATGTGGATTATGTTAATCTGTATAAGTCTTTCTACAGATTGGTGATATTTTATTTACTTAGAGCTATGTTTGGTAAAAGAATTGGAGTGAGACTTCAAATGAACATATTCTTGTATTTAGGCGTGTGCGTGTTAAGTTCTATAAACTCCAGTCTATTTATAATGATTTCACAACGAGGCCTGCAGCTTCTTCATCTTTCCGACTGAAATCAAATAAAAACTTCCACCTGCCATTCTAACCTTTCTTTTCACTTTTTGTAGTTAAGTATGTAGTTTGAGATAACTACAAAAACTTTATAAAAAATGTGTTAACTAATCTAGACTATAAAAAATTTATTTAATTTGTTGTAACCTATTTTATTTAAATAATTAAACATTACTACTTTTTACAGCAGCACAAAAAAGACCCCTATAAACATTTTTTTATGAATCTTATTTTGTCCTTATAAAATGTTTTAATTGAATTTTGTTAGGCACATTACACTATAATGTGTAGTCTTTGACATTTTCTATTATTCTCATTTTTCATTAGTTTATTTTATTTGACAATAATTGTGTAATATTTTGATACTTTTACTGCACTCCGCTTGTGTGCTTCTTTCACAATTAAGTTTTGTTGTATGAGATATTATGGTGGTTACGTGATAAAAAAAAAACTACAAAAAACAAGATACACATATTATAATCTTTACAATTAAATTTACTCATACTGTTCATTGCAGTTGTTTATTTTCAGTAGGCTTAATGTGGTTTTAGTTATTTTTTCAAGGATATTAAATGACATTTTTTAGATTTTATAACAACTTTGTGTGTGTAGAAAAGAGAGGTTGGAAATGAAATTCTTGGCATCTCCCTTGGAACTTAAAAAAAATCAGCTCCAAGTTCTCTAAATGAATGTATATTAAGTTTTATGACGAATCTGTGTACCAATCGATTAAGATATTCATTGTAATAGTGTAAATATAGTATGTACAAATTTGAACATTTTTTTAAAATTAAAATTGTTTGTTTAGTTAGTTGTATGTTTCTAATTTATGTTAGGCCTAACTATATTTTAAACTGATTTGTGTTTAAAAGACATAATAATTCAAGTGGCCCATACACTACTGTACACATGCATGGTACGCCGTTCCAAAAACAGTTGAAACGCGCTAGTGTGTGGGGAACACCATTCAAGCTTGGGGTGCATTGGCATGGCACGGTGAAAATTAAGGCGAGATTGATTTTTGGCGCGCCGTGCTTACGTGCTAGTGTGTAGGCAGTCCTTCGTCACGTGCTAGTAGTTGAACAACTTTTGAGGTTAGGTTTGACGCTAGAATAGGTCTTTCTTGATATTTAAAATGAATGAAAGGACGGCATTTTGTCTTTGGAACAACTTGGCATTTAATTTCTGTAATTATTAAGTTTGTTTTTGCATAGCTCTTTCAGTAGTCTGCTGTCAGAACACTTTTCTTTCTGCTTCAACCAACCTTTGGTACACATTAACAGCCTCTTGTGGGTTTCTTCCTCACTTCATGGGTGACAGAAATTTCTTCTGCACTAATCCATAACTTTTTGACCGCAAAACTCTACCAAAATAAAAGCATAACTCTGATCGGTGTGAACAACAGCATCTCGCAGGCTCACTGAAGCTCAAGTGTGTGGTGGCACGGCGTACCATGTGTAGTGTGTGGGCCGCTTAAGGCAATTTAATATTTTAAAACCATACCATCTGTCTAGGTTCCCATCTAAACCTGATGCTCTGGTCCCAGATGAGCAAATAGAAAACCGCATGCGACAGTTGGAAGAATACCTTCGCAATCTCTTGAAAATCCCTTTATACAGAGACCACCATGAAACTGTAAGTAAAACTCACTTAGAAAACAGAACACTTGATAATACGTACAGAGAAAGAAAAAAATTCATGGTCAGTTTAGATTTGACCATGAAAAATCACATTATTTTAATTTTTTTAGATTTCAATTCAATATGGAAACAGTTATGCCTGAATTTTGATGTTTTTACAATTGTACTAATGAAATAAATTCATTTCTTAGTATAAGTATGAAAAGTAAAATAGTTATGTAATGTAGTTTGAGTTAAAATTGATTTTTCATTACATTAATTAAATTGTTGTAAGAATCTTGTTACAAAGGTTAGCCCTCAGTTTTAACTGGACAGTTTTCGCCCAATTTTATACAAGAGAGTCCTGCATATACTTCTATAAACCTTTGAAAGGGTAACATTTTTTAAGTTTGTACTTTCACTTCGAACACTTCTATCCAGTTATTGACCTTAACACAATTTAGAATAATATTTTTAATAATTAGTTATGTCAATAATCGAGATGCCTTAATTTTATAGAGAAAACTGGCATAATTTGAATTTTGGTGAGTACACTTACACTGTCAGCCCAAATGTAAATGTATACAGCATTTTGTTTTTTGTAGAATGTGGTTATATTTTGGACTATCAGATTTGCTGCACTTAGTTCTACTCATATTATTTTTAATTATTGTTATTTTGTACTTGATTGAGGTTAAAACGTTCTATGCTCTATGATTTTTTGACTGTAGATTTTGGTTAAGGTTGAGTAGAGTTGTTTTGAAATTATTGTAATTGTAAGTTAGTTATGTCTTCTTAGTAAAAGCACACATGTAAATAGCTACTCTCAAAATCTTTAGCATCTCTTTTAGTTTGTAAGCACAGTGTTTGTTTGTCATTTGTTTGCACTCTTAGTTATTATGTCTGTCAACATTTAAAGGCTTTAATACTTCAAAGTATACAGAGTTATGGTTATGTTTAGACTTTCATAAAGTAAAAGCATGCACGAAGGTGTCTCTTACCAAACAAATTAATGGCTTATTCCAAATTAATCTCCTATTTTTTATATTAATGTTAACAACAATTGAGTGCTAACGTAGACAAAAAGAATTAAATATAGACTGACAGCATTGCTGCGGTTAGCATATGTTCTGGTGTCCACCACTAGGAGTGCCGTGTAGTTACGGCGCACATCGCTGCAGTGTCTGCTGGTAGCATACACCGAGAAGCCGACGACAGCAGCGAATTGAACCCCGAGCACGCTCTAGTGGAACATTGCGGAATCTTCCTTTGACAGTCTATATTTACTCTATTTGTCTATGGCGCTAATGTTGTACCCTAAAACATATAGAGAATTAAAATAAAAAAATAAAATGGTTGTTTTGAAGAAGGGATCAAAGGTTAAGTATCAATACAAGTTTTTATACTTTTTTATTGTGTTTAGCTCTTGTAAGATACAATATACTGTTTTTGACAACAATTTTGCCTTAGCATCTATAAAACTAAAACTACCAATGCTACAACAGTTAATTTATTTATTTTTTTGCTTTGAGTACCCATTTGGTTGCTATTGAGAATATGTACCTTTAGAGCTCAAAACTATCATTTAAATTCATAAGCCTAAAATCTGGTTTAACCGACATACCCTATTGCAGAAAGGAAATGCCCACCCATTTTGAGTAAATTAGACACAAATTGTCACCGCTCTTATGTAAACACGTAAATAAATAAATATTCTGTATTCCGTACCTTAAACATTCCATACATATTTAAACTATGCAAGGACTCTTAGGATATCATGATCACTAATTAGCAAAGAAAATTCACCCTGTATGGAAAAAAATTATACTCTTCAATATACTTCAAAAGTTTTGAAAGAACTCTTCCAAAACATTATTTGAAGGTGATAAAATATTTTCTATTGCACTTTTGGGCTTCAACCTTTCTGTGATATGGAGCCAATTGCTCACTTTTTGGTAGCGATAATTGCTCAACAAGCAATTATTTTCGATGCAGGGGAATTATAATATTTTGTTACTTAACAATATCAATATTATTAATATTGTTAATGTTATTTAATGTGTAGACAAATTTCCTGGAAGTGTCACAGCTTTCTTTTGTCGCTGGACTCGGGCTGAAAGGGAAGGAGGGCGAGATACTGAAGCGTACACGGAGTGCTCAGCCTGGCGCGCGGGGTTGTAACTGCTGCGGTCTGCTCAACAACGGCTGCTGTGTCAGGTCAGTAACAACATTATTTACCAATGGCTCGGTGGAACTGTCTTGTGCGGATACGGCAGCCGGTCCCAGACCTTGTTGTTATCACTGCTTACACCACCACTGCTATGTGACGTATACTGAACTCAATGGCTGATCATCGCCTGTGTTTGCCTAATTAGTGATGTATGATGTCCGCAACACGAGGTGTGGCTATAAAATAATGAGACTGGTTTTCTTAGAGACAAACTGTGTGAACCTGAAGGCCAAACGCCAAATTGCCGAGTTGCTTGACATCCCCCTGCCACATTTTGTCCTGTTTGATGACTAGGCTGCTTAGTTCGGCAGCCCAGAGTCAAAATTAAAAAAAAAATTAAAAAAGCCTGGAGATATCATAGATTAGTACCTACATACCAAATTTAATCAAAATCGGACCACAGGTGTAGGCTGTAGCTCTGTACACATCCAGACACACAGACACACACACAGACATCACTTTGAAAACCACTTTTTTGGGTCCAGGGGGACCCAAACGGAATATATCCACTCAAAGCTCAAATTCGAAAAGTTTGACGAAAACAATACTTTCTCCATATACTATTGCATAGGGGGAGAAAGTAAAATCTTGGTATTATCTTTGGCAAGTGTTACTAAAAGCATAAAGATGCATCCTTTACATTTTTAGGCCTAAAACATTCAACTGTTGGGTAGAAACAAATCTAAACCTCAATAAAAACAAGAAATTACGTTAGATATAAACACTAATAGTTTACATCAGTTAACTTATAATTCTGGGAGAAAATTTTAATTTACAAGAATTTTAAAAATACGATAAAATTCAAATTCTTTGTAGGGTTGAACAGTATTTTAATATTTTAATGCCAGCCATTAAAATAATGGTAGCCTATTAAGTATAGTTCAAATTACTTGTAACATTTAGTCAAAAGATAAATACATTTATTTTTATTGTATGGCTACCGGCATGTAGTTTATCTGTTACAATTTATTCATCGATAATGAAAGTAATGTGTACAAACAAACAAGCAAGCTTAGTACAATAGGCATGACATTTGATTAACTAATTTATTGCTCATGTTAAAATGATTAATTTCAGGTAGGTGTAAAAGGTGGAAGGGGGAGGGGGAAGACTGTTGAACTTCCGTGACATGTGTCTGTACTCTGTTTCGCGCGCAAAAACCATACTACTGCCACTGGAATTGCAGTTTATTTACAATATATTGATATTGAAAGTATACTTAGAAAAAACAGGCTCAATACAATTTAAGTAAAATTTAAAAGATTCACTATTTAATTGCATACGTTAAAACATTATTTTTAAAATGTAATTACAATTTTTTTTACCAATCATAGGTTCAAGGGGGGGATATATCCCCCTAACCCCCCTCCCCCCATCGTCTAAACCACTGTTACTGTGTATTTATTCAAGGGATTATTGAAAACATTGACATCGTGATTGTAACTAACAAAACAATAACAAAAACTCACCATCACCAAAAGTGAACATTTGGAGTGTAACATCTGATTCAAACAAAAACACTTAGATAAGTGTTCCTTATATTTTAAAACATATTTTTACATGATTATTTTTAATTTGCTCCTTCAAAAACAATTTTATAAGATTTTTAGTGTTATGGTTCTATTTAAAATCTGTAGGCTGCTGGTCTGATTCCAAGCAACATGATTCTGGGCCCTGAGGCCTTAGTGAGAACACCAGGTTTTAGACCTTTCCCTTACCAATACCAACATCTTGGTAACCATATACTTGGGTACCATATACGTGGGTTATTTTGGGTGTATAATAAATATAGTTAACGTTAACAACTGTTTTATGGTTGGAAAAAGTGTAGAAATGAGCTTTTGGCATTAAATTGCAAACATAATTTAAAAAAATGACATTATGTAGGAATTTTTATTGAATTAAATTGAATAATTGTGATTATTTCATCATGCAGGTGCAACTATCTATGCAGTGATGTGTGTGGCTCGTGGCGTCGTCGCTGGCTTGTAGTGAAGGACTCCTTCATAGCCTACATCCGGCCCAGAGACGGGTCTGTCAAGTGCGTCATATTGTATGATACCAACTTTGAAGTGTCTTCAGGCATTTTTTCCACCGGACTTAGAAGAGGGCTGCACATAATTAATTTAAGCAGGTGAAAATTTAGTTTGCTTCTGTCTTTTTTAATCATATTTAGAGTCAGTCTAAATGTCACAAAAATTCACCAACTGTGATCACTAGTTAATTAAATTACACTGCCATGTTAGTTGAGTTTAAGAGAAGTCATTACATTATCCCAAAACTTGATGATAGACAGAATCATCAGCAAGTCAGATTTGATTGATTGTCAAAAGTAATTTGATTTTATTCAGTCATCTTGAGTGTGTTTTACATTTCTTAGTACTTGTATCTTATACACACATTTTTTAATAGTTTAAACCATGAAGTTTATACTTTGAAAACTAAAAAATGATAACAAGAAGGTTATTCAACTTTTTTTTAAGTATGGCCTAATATGATTTATTAAAGCTCTGAGACAAATCTGTGACCAGGAAATCGGCCTGTTCTGAATATCTTTATCTGCTGCTTTTTAGTTTAAGAGTTTTGCTTTTTTTTTGGTTGTGTTGCAAGCCTAGTGGCGTCTCGGACTTCGGTGCAGGAGGGACGGGTTCAATCCCCGGCACATCCACCAAACATTTATTCTCTCGTAACTCTCTCGTGAAATGCCACTGGTGTTGAAAAAAAAAAGAAAAAAATACACTTATTATATGAACAAAAATACTAATTTACTATATGCCAATCCAATTCCAATTGTAGATATAGACCAAAAAACCTACCTCACTCATGTTACAATTATCAATCAAAATAGCACATTTAAAATCCATTCTTCATTAACTTTATTGTCTCGTGTTTACAATCCGACTGAGGTTAAAAATTCAACTACTAATCGGCTGCTAAATAAAAAAAAAATAAATAAAAACTGTTACAAATAAAGTTGGTTAGCAGCACTGGGACTTTGAAAGCTTCAGCAAGGAATAAATTAAAGGCTATGGGGCTAAGCCCTAAAGGAAATTTTGTTTTACTCACCATTCATCCCTGCGATAGATCATAAGCTTTATGATGACACCTCAATCATAGAATTCGTTAAAGTAGGATAGGTGAAAAAGGGATGTTATTGAGAAAACACTTATTTGTACCTATGTAAACAGAGAAATAACTAAGCTTGTTAGGACAAAAATATGTTTTGCATACCCCCGTCAAATAGTCCAACGATCAAATAGCTTACATGTTTTGTTGGGAAGACAAAATTTTCTAAGCTTGCAACTCGTCAAAAACACAAAATTAAAACAAACACAACACGAACATAAAAACGACGAATACATAAACATTTAGATATCGCTATCACAATACTGAATTAGCCCGGTATAGCACGGGGTTGGTAGCAGATATTTATGTTTGTTATTCTGTTCAGGCACATAGTGATCAAATGTCCAACACGAAGGACCACACAAGAATGGATGGCCTATATAAGGGAGAACGCACACAGTAAGTGTATTGTCAGTAATGTTTCTGCAAATAAGTTGTTAATGGGGTGGCAACTGTGGTGAGGGTGAAGGATAAGGCTCATTCAATAATGATTCACATTGAGTAAAAAAGCTAGCTACAGTTGGTCCATGTAGATGGAATGTTTACATTAGTGTACATAAAGTCTACAGGTGAAATAGTCAATGCTTTGGGTGTGTTATTAGCCCAGTGGTTTGAACTTCGGAGCTAGAGGGATGTGTTCAATCACTAGTATTTGCTAAATTTTGGGAGTTTTGGACCACTTTCTTTTAAGAATTTAAAACAAAATAATACTGACATAAACACTAGTTATTAGTCCAAGAAAGTTAGTTAGTTAGTTATGAGTTCCAACAAAATTGTTTTAAAAGGGTTTTCAACGGATTTTATTACTTTTATACCTCCACACAACACAATAAAAAGTCTACCGAAATCTGACCTGGGGAAATACTTGATATTTGGTATTTAAATTAAGATATAAATTGCACCTAGAAAAAAAAAACTTTCAAAAACATTGTTGCTAGATATAGGGTGTAGTATATCGATTGTAATGTTTACAAGGGTGGGGAAACTAAATATGCAGCTTAAAATGGGATTTGACCTCATTTGACTCCACAAAATGGCCGCCAAAATACGATTCATAGAGGAGAACCTAAAAAACGTACCTTTAAATATAGGGTGTAGTGTATAGGAAGGTACGTAAACATTGAATTTGATCATAGACAAAAAGAATTAAATATAGACTGTCAGCCGTGCTGCTGTTACCATGGTTGGCATAGGTTCTGGCGCACACCACTGGACGCACCGTGTAGTTACGTAGTGCATCGCCGTAACTACATGGCACTCCCAGCGGTGTGCGCCAGAACCTATGGTATGGTAACCGCAGCACAGCTGACGGTCTATATTTAATTATTTTGTCTTTGGTTCGATATTCATTCAACACCCTGTATCTAAAGGTACGTTTTAAAGTTTCTTTTCCATGAATTGTATTTTGGAGGCCATTTTGTAGTGTAAAATGAGGTCAAATAACATTTTAAGTTGCATATTGAGTTTCCCCACCCTTGTAAACATTAAAACCACATACTACACCCTATTTATAGCAATAATGTGTTTAACAGATTTTTCTGGGAGCACTTATTTTAACTTAAATAGACCTACCCTAATAACAGGCACTTCCCCAAGTCAGATTTCGGTAGACTTTTTTTGTGTTGTGTGATGCTATAAAAGTAATGAAATCCGTTGAGAAACCTTTTGAAACAATTTTGTTGAGCCTCTACGCGCTCCACTATATATTTCTCTTTAATTACCGGACTATATCTTAAACTAGCTGTTACTCACGGGCTTCACCCCGTTTGACTTCATAAGTATTAATAAAACTATTGATTGGTTAAGTTAGGCTGAAATAAACAATAAAACAGAATACAGTAATACAAACAAATAATCACACCTTATTTTTAATAAGGTAATACATTGAAAGAATAACAAAAAAAAATTATAGCTGAGGTATTTTTAACATTAGGTATAGGCTATGGAAAGTTCCATTTAGAAAGGAATTACGACCTTAAAGGGCAATTTATGAAATAATGGATAGTTTTGCGCAAGGTTTCTCGCCGTGACGAATATTTTAAGTATATGGTTTATGGGAGTGTGACTTTTAGTTTTCTCAAAAGTTCATGGGTACTTGGGGATTTATATATGTACACTACTTATTTTGATACTTTTTTTAGACAGTGACTTCATCCGTAGTAATCGGTACCACTCTTACGCGCCGTACCGCATAGAGACAATGGCGTCTTGGTTTGTGGATGGATGTGACTACATGAGCGCTGTGGCCGACGCGATGGAACGTGCACGAGAGGAGATCTTCATAGCCGACTGGTGGCTGAGTCCTGAAATATACATGAAGCGACCTGCGATAGAGGGTGATTATTGGCGGCTGGACAAAATACTACAGAGGAAAGCGGTTAGTTGTTTTTATGGTTTTCTGTTTACTTAGATTAATTTCTTAAAGGAAATAGTACTTGGATTCAAAATGCATTAAGGAGGAAGGAATGGATTCATAAGTCACTGCTAATATAGAGTAAAGTACTGGTACTATATATTATGTTTAACTCCATAGTGTAAAAATAATTTAATTTTCATATGTTCTGTATTATGTTACTTAATTTAAGTATGTACTACTGTTTTTGACACTGTTCAAATGTACAAACTTGTACTTTTACAAATAAAAATGTTTTGATTGCTTCTTACACTAAAGCCAAAATAAGGAACTCCAGACAGTTGATGCACCCAAAAGATTCACAACTTAGAGTATTTAACTTAATATCTCACTTCTCTTAGGAGACTTCTACAGAAGGAAGTCATACAGTTCAACTCTCCGGACTAATAGATATCAGACCTGGTTCGGATGGTAAAAACCTGATTATCAGCTACTATAATACAACAGTTAAACCAAAAATAGAAGATAGTAACAAATTTGACACTTTGGGTATCTACAAAATAATTTTTTATGATTGTGATCATGTTTACATTGGACAAACTGTAATGGTAGATTACACAATGGGTAAAGATAGTGTTAACGACACAAGTAGAAATTTCTTTAAAAAAAACTTCTACAAGTGTCGTTAAGGCTTATTCATGCTAGTTGCGTACTTTATTTCACCTACGACCGCTTTTTATTTACTAACAATCACTACTCATAGCTTCTAAGAGGGGTTATGTTTTTGTTTAAAACCTCTCATTGCTACTGACTGTGATGCAACGACTAATTGTACCAACCACTAATTGCAAAGATCATTAACAATTAAATTGGTAACCAAACAAACAGCTGATAAGTTGTAATTCAAAACATTACAATTTTACTTCTTTTCTATCAATCCTTGAACCTCATCGGTCCGTTAGTCGTGTTGTTAAGTAAAACGATGCTGTTAATATCTCTAAATGACCTATGCAACTGTTGACATTTTGATTTTATTCATTAGGTGTTCTGCAAACTTCAATTTTTGTGTATGCAATTTAGGCTTGGGAACGTGTTCTACATACCTTTTCAAAAATGAACGACCTGATTGACCTATATGAACGAAAATCAAAATGTCAACAGTTGCATAGATAATTTAGAGATATGACACAAATGGAATAAAGGTAACAAAATGAACAATTGTTATTAGACTTTCAATATTTACGATATTTTTGTACTTTCAGATAAAAGTTTGATAAAAAATTAAAGTCTATATGAAATTCTACGAAAATGCTACGACAAACTAAAACAACAGAGTCATCAGACAGTCAACGTGGGTGACTGTTTGGTTCAAACTCTTACTACTGACTGGCTAAGCATGCAAAATGACTTGTTGACAATTTCTCAATTTTCGTGTCAATTAAGTTTTATTCCTTTTTTTAAACTGACTAGGTCAGCAATTCAGATAATCATCATGTGGATAGTCGGCGCTCTACTGGTTAGATTTGTATCCTTTCCTTTATGCTTGGTGTTTTATCAATTTTATGATGCAATCAATATTTTAACTTTCTCTAACAATCCTATTAAATTACTTAAAATGATTCAAAATACCTGCATATAGTAATCCTTTGATGCTTCCTGGCAACTAGTTTCGGTTCTTTATACGTGACACGAACAAGACACAAAAACATAAAATAAATATACGGTTACAACACGAAACATACAAAGAGACATTGACAAAACGAACTCGACCGGGCTAAAGTCTAGACCTAGTAGTTATTTAAAGTCTAGGTCCAGTTAGTTTTGTCAATGTCCCTTCGTATGTTTTGTGTTGTAACCGTATGTGTATTCTATGTTTTCATGTCTCGTCTATATGTTTTATTTGTTGAACTCTTTTGACGTCCTTCCAATGAAGTGGTCACCTTGACACCTTGGTTTCACAGAACCGAAACTAGTTGCCAGAAAGCATCAAAGGATTACTATATGCAGGTATTTTAAACCATTTCAAGTATAATACAGTAATCTGGAGGCTAAACAACTCATTTGAACTATAAATTTGATTTGAAAGAGCGTCACTTGGTTTTATATGTTTTTGTATAGGAAATAACGTTGTAAACACTTTATTATTTCTAACTTAAAATGCAATTTCTTTTCCAGTCTCAAGGTGTGAAAGTTTTTGTCTTGCTGTATAAAGAAGTGGAACTAGCACTTGGAATCAACAGTTACTACAGCAAACAAAGAATTGTGTCCAGCCATCCTGCCAATATAAAAGTGAGTATTTTCTTCGTGTTCTAGAATCTGCCAATATAAGAGTGAGTATTTTCTTCGTGTTTTAAAATCTTTTTTAAGAAAAAGAAAATTAAAGTTCATTAACATTTCTCTTATATACTTGTTTTTTTATTCATTTATTCAAAATTGCCTTGGTAGCTGTTGTGTTCGTGGGTTGAATGGACTTTGGAAGTGGACTGAATAAATACGAGAGTTTTACATGTTTATAACACGGCTACAAACAGGTGGTTAAGGTTTGACTTTTAGAGGTAGACTCGGCTGTTGAAGGGACGGACGGACATGGACGGTGGTGTGATCTAGGTGGAGAGGGGATCAGGTGATGTTTGTAGCCAATGCTGTTTATTGAAAATTATACGATGCATAGTGGCGTGATGTACAAGGAAATCATAGTTACTACGGATATTGATATTCTTACGATATATTACAGTAACCGTTGTAACGGATATTGAAAGTTGCTGGTTCCATTCAAGAACCAGTGTATTCTGGACCAAGATGTCATATTTGTCGTTTGGCTATCAATTAATGACGTTTTTTAACAAAAGGTCGACATTATGTACTCGTAACAAGACCAGAGCTTGGACCATTCCCTTACAACAAACGTTAAAAAATGATCACCAAACTAAACTAGGCTTTATAGTGGTATTTAATCTCAGATCCAACCATAGCGATAGGTGGTATGCAGCTTCACCATAACAAGTAAGGCTGGTTTGTGTAAGGCGGAAGTTGTCACTCCTCTGGCAGCGAAATTTGCTGCTTAAAACTCACAGGTGGTGGGGGAAATAAAGACCTTAGTGTTGAGGTTATGCTCTACTAATAGAAATATTTAATGACTGTATAGTTTTTCTAATTGAAATATGGACCCTATATGTTCTAAGTTATTGTGTAAAAACCATTGAACTATGTTCTTTCTAACAGAAAAACTAGCTACAGCTGGTCCGTATAGACGGGATGTTTACTTCAGCATCCAAAATCACTGATAATCGGTACTGTTAATTGTCATGCAGGTTCTCAGACACCCAGATCATGCCAAGGCTGGAGTGTTTCTGTGGGCTCATCATGAGAAGATAGTAGTTGTAGACCAGTCAGTCGCCTTCCTGGGTGGCATCGACCTCTGCTACGGCCGCTGGGACACCCACGAGCATCGGTGAGTGCTATGATGATATCTTATAGATGGTTGTGTGAAAAAAGATTTCCAGAAGTCTGGCTTCCACAATCACACTTAATATCATCGTAGTCTTTAGAGTGGGGAACCCCTGCAGTGATTGTCAGGGGAGGTGAATCAATGAATGGAATATGAACTGGGCGAGTTCTGCCGGTCGGATAAGATTCTGCCCAAGAGTGAGCCACACCTCTCATCCCGAGCGAGTACAGTTTGTCTAATAAGATTCTGTGATCCACCATAACGAAGGCTTTGCTAAGATAGAAGAAGATTCTAGCGACAGCCTTTCCTGAATCAAGGGATTGAGTCAAAGATGAGACTAGAAAGTGGATGGGATTGACTGTACTTCTATTACTTCTATTTTTTGTGAAGCCAAATTGATTCCGGGAAAGAATATCTATATTATTAAAAGAGATTTTAGGATTTTTGTGTGCAGCAAATCAACCCCTAAATATTTATACTTGTAGGCATATTGGGTATCAAGTTAATGCTCTAATCCTCTAGATGTGCCTTTTGTGGGTTTGTATGATATACCGTGAAAGCCCTATAGAATAGAATAGATTTATTGGTCATTCAGTAATTACACTATAATTACAATAGACTTCGTCAAGTTTAAACAATAAGTAGTCATAATACACAAGAGTCATAAATAATAATCTCTACCTAATTTAAAAATCACAGCCTCTTATATCTAAATCAAAAAATTAATTGATGTGGTATAATGGCCTACTTTGAAGCCAAACATATAATTTACTGTTAAATGAATTGTCAGAAATACTTTGAAGTTCCAAGGGCAGTTTGTTGAACAATTTGATTCCCAATGAGTTATGATAGTTATTAGTTAGACTTAACCTATTTTTTGGAATTTCCAGTTTGCATTTATTTCTAGTGTTGTGCTTATGAATTTCATTTCTTTTGACCAATAAATTAACATTCTTTTTTATCAAAATCAGAACCTCATAGATGTATAAATTTATCACTGTCAGAATCCCAGTTTGTAAAAATAATGGTCTACAGTGATCTAGGCTATCTGCACCTGATAAAATTCGGATAGCTTTTTTCTGTACTAAAAGAACATGTTCGATTCCAACACCATTACCCCACACTATAAGACCATACCTAAGCCAATTTTCAAAAAAGGCATAATATGACATTTTTAAGTACTTATCTGATACAAGTTTTTTTAGGTTTATCAGAAGGTAAATTACTCTGGACAATTGTTTACATACATTTTCAATATGAACTTTCCAAGAGAGCCTACTATCAATAGTTACTAGTATAGCACTAGTACTATAGGCTTTTAAAATTTCATAGTTTGTGCTGAATTCTGTTGTCAATCATCTGAACTTTTTCAAATTACTATAATATAATTGCACAATTTCCTCGTCACAGCTCTGTAGTTTCCGTTTATATTACGGCCGTTTCAGCATCAAAATGCCATCCTCAGATACATACATCCACCGGATTTGGCATCGTCAAACTTGATACACACACGTAACAAGATAACAAACATTTAAAACATAAAAAATGAAAGAAAGGCCTGTTGCGTACCGTTACTAATAAGTTATTAGTAATCTGGCCAAGGATGCTAAAAGTTAATAGCAATGACTCTTTTTTATCCTTAATATTCCTTCTCTGTGCTCAGATTGACAGACCTGGGAAGTGTGTCGTCTGCAGTGAGGAACGGACTACACAGGATATCCACGTCCAGTCACCAGTACAAGACCTCGGCCCCCACACTGCTACATCTAGCTAGGGTCACCAACTCACTTGGGGTGGGCCTCGCCACCGTGCCTGAGGTTCTTACTGACAATAGGTGAGGCTGACTTATTGAGAGTGAATTTTAACTTTAAAAATTATAGTAACAGGGTACAATAAAATCCCTCATATCCGACCATAACGGGACTGGGCCATGGTTGGAACGGCCAATAGGATGGATATCGAGTGGAGCAGATGGTTTGTGTATTAGTAAAATTCCAAGAAAATAAAAAATTACCCAAGAAATTAACGATAATGAAATAAACTATCTCGACCAAACTATTTCAAAAAACATAAACAAACATGATTTAAAAATTTACAGAATAGTTTATGTACATTGTCCATTAGCGTGATAACACAAGCAAAAATTTACGTACCCCAAAAAAAGAAAACATACCTCATTACCTTCCCTGTAGCAGCAAACCTAAGTACACTCATTAAAAATAATGTTATTTAAATAGGAAAGAAATCTGACAATTTTAAGGGAATATTTAGTAGCATCCAGCCAGGGAAATGTAAATTGGCTTAGTCTACAGGTTTTTAATTTTTTTTTATACCCCCGGCGGGAGTATTTTTTTTTCTTTCTAGAGTTTAAATGTTTTTTGGGGGGATTTTCTCTAGAATGTGTATGTTTTACAAAAGCTAAATTTGTGGCTAGCTTCAGGCAAGAACAAATTTAAAGTTCTTTAGAGAGGTTTACTCTTACAAGTGAGCGAGTTAGTGGTTTTTTTTTTTTTTTTTTAATAGATTGTTTTGTTTCATTTTTTGAGTTAAATCAATTTGATTTATTGTTTCACTGCTACAAAATAAATACAACATTCTATTTTACATTTCAGCACAACATTTATTTAATGTAACAACATTTATTTAATGTCGAGGAGTGTACTCAAACAAAATAATTAGAGTAAACAAAATAATTGGAATACTAATTCCCTGCAGATCGTTTATTAATAACACGTTTTTAAAGCTATTCAGAGTGAGTGGAAGTTGATGTGTCAAACCTTAACCACCTAACCTTGTAACAAGATTTCCCCATCATCAACAAAGAAAGCCTTTACACCCATTTACCTGTAATGTAAGCTGTATTGTGTATTGTGATGTTGTCCATGTCCAGCACAGAGCTACAGGATGTGCCCCTCACACCCACAGATGAGGTCGATGCTGAAGGTTTCCAAACAGCCAACGGCAACCTACTCAACCAACCATCACCTGAGAACATGAAGGCTGACACACCCGAGCTGGAGAGAAAGAATGTCTTTGACAGGGTCAGTCAAGTAAAAAGTTCTAACAGATCATTTTCGGGTGTATTTGAAATTATTTTAAATGTTTGTGCAGTTTTCTCTCCTCAATTCAGATTTCCTCAGTATATTTGGTGTGTGTAGATTAGACATACTTGGGGATAACGAATTCCCAATCATCATAACGGATCATTCTAACGATTAGCAATTTTCGTTAGTTTTTTCAGCTAACTTCTATCATATTCGTTAGTTTTTAAAAAGTACTGGAAATAATTTCTACTCAGTTAAATTCCAGCTCACGAATAGATAATAATATACTTGTCAGTAGTTTTGGAGTTGAAATAGCTAGATTTTTGGACGGTCGGAAGTACCTCAAATACAAGTTTTTTTACATGATCAGAGAGGGTTGTGTGCGACCGTAAGGGGTCAGCGCCCTTGTAGTGGGTGGGGAAAGGGAAAGTCTAGTTGCTTTCGTATGCAGTGGGCCCGGGGGGGGGGGGGGCAGTAGTGGCAGCCAGAGAGGTGGGAAGGGAGAATGTTTGGTGATTTGTCATCTCAAAACCTTGATTAATTTTCATTCTCTGACAAGTGTGAAGTCATTTTTTCTGTGGTAGGAACCTTAACCTGTGATGCTCAACTCCTGAATAACCGGGATACAGTAGGGTTGAGGCTTCCCAGATATGTAAAATCATGGTTAATCTGCAAAATACTATCGAATAAGAAAGTGTATGAAAATACAACACAGTATTAAATTATGAAAAATTAATTTTGAATTAAAACATAACTGAATGTTGTATTTGACAGGAATCACAATGATAACACACCTATTGAACACAATGACAATTCAAGTATTTGAACACAAAAAGATCTAGTCTTTAAGATGAAATCAAATATTTTTTTACAAGACACAAACTACCGTGAGTTAGTTTCTTTAAAATTAATCTATAACAAATTTCTGTTTTTCATCAAAGAAATGTTTTTTTTGTACTCATGTTTTGTAGTACAATTTTGACGCAAATTGGAGCATTGTACTGTATTGCAAATGGGGTAAGAGGTGGTTTATGACCTTGAGAGGGCCGGGGGGGGGGGGCTGACAATGATTTGTGGTTTGTTTACATCCTACTGCCCCTCCTTCCGAAAAAGAAACTGTTCCCATCAGTTACTTTTTACGGGACTAACTAATGACTTCTAACTAGTTAGAATTTTTTACTTACATTCGGAACTATGTATGAAGGTGGCTGGTTCGATCCTAAGAAAAGTCAGAAGATTTTTGATGGTTCTAAACTGGATCTGGGTGTTTTTTATCATTACGCTTTCAACAAATGGTCATGGCTAGAGAAACGTCTGATCTTCTTCTTAGTCAGTAACAAAGTGAGGCAGGTCAGCACACTCATTCATACTCATCTTGAAATTCACATCTAAATCTTGTTACTGTCACAAAAGTAATGATACTGATTGAGATATAGCTGGTTTAGTTGTCAATAGTTGTGTATTTTTGTCCTGGATGTTCAAATTCCTCCAGTCTCCAGTAGTAATTTTGTAAGTGACATCATGACTCGATGGTTCAGGGCCCAAAACTGTCCACTTATAACGGAAGATGTCCAGCAAAGCCTTATAAGCTCATGTATAAAGTAAAAAACAAAGATCTCTTGGACAAGAAGAACTTTCTTAATATTGGAAAACTTCCTCCATAATAAATGCCTTACTGTAATTAATTTGAGGCTGTTTTTGTACAGGTTAAAGATAATGTCAAATCACTGTTGAGCTTCGACAGTGAAAGTGAGAGTGAAGAAGAAAAAGATAAGGAGAAAGTTAATGAAGGTTCTCCTGATGTACCGGTGGAGGAGACTGCTCTTCCTGAAATTGTTGCCAACAGCGAAAATATGTAAGTAACCTTTCTTTTATCCTAAATTGTTTTTTATACATACTTTTATATGGAACAAGGAATGGTACATTAGATTAAAAAAGTGTACTTTATCAATAAATAACCCTTTGAGTGCCGTGGTATTTCGTTCCGAGACGGTCAATTGTCATAGCTTGAGTGCCGAGCGTCTTGTAATTTGACAGCTGAGGCTGTGCGAGAAATTCCAGCGTCCCGTAACAAAAAATATACTAATAGAAAAAACAATACAAAATTTCCATAGGCCTAAATAAATATTATATAATGTTTTTACCAAACACTAATTTTATTTGGAAAAATGGCCGGCATTCCTAACAGGAATACCATAAATGTGCCTGGAAAACCTCAAATAAAATAGCCTTCCCCCTCCCTCAGCACCCAAATTGATACAGTAGAACCTCGATAAAAACATTCTCATGGGGGTTATTTAATAAGACTTGTTTTCGAGGTTAACTTCATATTTTGCTTTGCACTACACAGCTTCCAATACTACCCTAGATATTTTGTATCTATATACTAATACAATAAGGGTTTTCTGTGTTACATCCCTTTTCCAGCTGTCCTATTTAACCAAATTTTACAATTGAGGTGTCGTTATAAAGCTTAAGATCTAGCACACCTGCAAATGGTGTTTAAAGAGGTTAGGATATTTCCTTTAGGGTCTGCCCCCCCCCCCCCCCCATCACGTCTAATTGATTTCTAGAATCCATTTTAAAAAATCCAGTCACGCTGACCATCTTTATTCACAACGGTTTGAATGTGAATTATAATTAGCCTATTCCTTCAGTTAAATGTTTGACGTTTGACCACAGTCAGATTGTAAACAAGAGACTAAACTGTTTATAAAAACGTATTTTAAATAGGCTACCTTTTTAACAACGGTGACTTGACTGTGGTAGGTAAATTACTATTTATAATGAAAAGGTAAATAAATATTTCACTGGATTCATTTTTTCTCAGAAACAAGTCTTGGACCCTTTTAAACTGTGCAATGTGTGCATGGGTCTCCCTTATACTTATTGACTATATTATATATATATATATATATCCAGGCATTACAACATTTTTCATATCTGTAATTAAAATGTCCATAGCTATATGAATATTAATTTTACTTTTAGCTTTTTGTTTGTATGGTTAAAAGAATTTTCTATTTGATGATAGAAGTTTAATGTAGGTTTGCACGAATATTAATATATAGAAATTTGTATCCAAACACAATTTGTGTAGATATTCTGGAGGTGAAGCTCAAGAGATTGTGGACACTAGTAAAAATTCAATGAAAGGCCTCTTTGGTAATGCCAAATATTGGATTGGTAAAGACTATACAAACTTCATTGTAAAAGATTTCAACAATCTGGACAGGCCTTATCAAGGTTAGTATTAAAGCACCACTCTATATATATATATATATATATATATATATATATATCTCATTCTAGATCTACTGAAAAAAGTCAATATTTATCATTCTAGAAGTCAACTCCCAGAAATACTCAATGCATTTACACTTATTCTGTAATTCTTCACGAGGTTATGAGTTTCATGAGCTTACTTATAGTATAGATTGTAATCGGCTAACTTATAGATTGTCACTAGTCACATCAGTCATCAGGTCTATTCTGAGAATGGTTGATCAAAATGGTGTCCTTGCTTCTTGATCCAGCCCTTCATTGGTGTCTTTGATTTTAAAACACAATCGGTGACATACAGAGTTTAATACACACTTAAGCATGCGGTCCGTCATAAAGACTCATTATTGACTCAAAGTTCTGGAAACTAACTTATTCAACTTTAAGAGGTTTTTGTTTTTTATCGTATGATAAATATTTTGTTCTACTTGTTGTGTTGTTGGTAGACCTGGTAGATAGGAGCCACACACCCCGCATGCCCTGGCACGATGTTGGGGCTATGGTACACGGAGCTGCCGCTAGAGATGTGGCGCGACACTTCATCATGCGATGGAACGCTGTCAAGGTATAGCTTCCATTAAACCCTTTTGTTTACAATAAGTTAAAAGTAGTTTAAAATTTAAATTGTCTACTCAATATTGTTTATTGGAAATAGTATAATATAGGCTAGGTACTGCTTACTTTCTTACTAGGACTCATTTTTATACTTGGAACCATTGGTTGAACACACCCCCTAATGGATTCGTCTGATAATTGTCTGGGTAGTGCTCTCCTCTAAATCAGAACGTTGCTGGTTTGATCCTTAGCAGGGATAATATTCAACTGAAATGCCCTTTGTCATTGGGATACTGAAGCTTGTAACAATTCATTATATTTCCACTGATATTTGTCCATAATCCAATGTTCACCATATGTTTTTTTTTTTTTATCTGTATGTCAATGTCAATGTAAATATTTATGCTCCCTTTTCCAAACCATGTGTAATAATTGTCCAAGCAGACCAATAGGTAATTAATATAATATAATGTAATATAGAAAACGTTTAAATAACCGAATTATGTAAATATGTGATAGCCTATAACCTTTTGTAACAAAATTGCTTCAAATTTAATATAATTTACTTAGATAACTTTTCCAAATTCAAAATTAGCTCTTTAGCAGATGTGCGTATGTGTGTGAACAGTGACCTAAAAGTCTACAGTGATATAGTTAGTATTGACATGTGATTTGAGTGCAGCAATATCCTAAACCTTCATCACCTTCCAAGAGAGCTGAACTACATACTAGCTAGTGTTAACATACTTAAAACTGGAATTTTTCGTTACATCAAAATTTTGTCCCTATACAAGTTTATTTAAACAATGTAGTGAAAATGTTATGAAAGAATATTCACAGGTCATATAATGTCCCTTTTATAAACATCAAGAATATTTTGATCTGTGAAGAAGACATCTAATTTGGGTGGGATCACTCCTGTAAAACCTTTCTTTATCTGGAAGCCATTAGATTTTTTTTGCCATAACCTTTTGAACTTTCATACTAAATTTTAACATCAAGAAACTGTTTGCAGCCTATTCCAGAACATTAATTTCACTAATTAGAAGAAGAATTTTTAATAATCTATTATTTCAAAACCAAATTTAAACTTTTAATCCTTATGTGAAGATAGCCTATCCAAAGATCAATTATTTCATCAATCACATAATTGAACACACACAATACATTCAACAACAGTCAACTTGATCTCAATTTTAAGTCATACAGTTATCTGCTACTGAGTATTTATTACAATCTATTATACTAGATATTTCATTCTCCTTATGAATTACCTAAATCACAAGATTAAATTCTGACGCCGCCCGATCACCCCAACCTGAGATTCAGAGCACATGTAACAAATCCCTGAGCCTAAATTAAAACATTGTATTCAGTGGTGTAACAGCCAGCCCTGCAGTACCCGCGATATGTGGGGGAGGGGGGCGAGGTTTATGGGCCCGCGAGGTTGAGATACCCTTTTCTGCTAAAACCGTTTGTAAAACCGGTCCTTTGTTCACGGATGTTTTTCTATCCTGTCCTGACAAATTTTTTAAAACACAATGTGTTGGTAGATACTTTTATTCTGCCAAATATACTGAAGTTTTATCTTATAAACCTAACAAAACTGTTAACGAAACGCCACCGCCCAACACGATCACCCGACGATGTGTATTATCCGTGGGGTTGTGTTGCTTCAGGCTAGGGACTCTGAGCCAGCCCCTCCCCCCTCCCACACTACCCGCTCTAGGTAACTCAGCTGACCGTAGATCACCTGATTTTAAGTTAAGAATGATTACAAGCTATCCAAGGTCAAAGTTAGGTATTATTAGTAAAACCTAGCTTTGCACCTTTCCCTTACAAAAAAAAAAAAAAAAAAAAAAAAAAAAAAAAAAAAAAAACAAGAAACATGACTATGGCTCTACAACAAAGTAGAATAAAATCTTAATGAAACAACAGAATTTGATGTGTATATTTCCAAAAATTGGAAAATATTTAGTTTTTCAATTACAGTTTGATTGGTTTAACTATATTATCTTTAATTCCAGCTGGAGAAGGCCAAGTTGAACCCAATGTACCCTAACCTGATACCAAAGACATACAGAGACGTAGAGCTGACTCCAATAATGCAGCTCCCCGATGTCAAACTGTACAGGGTGAAAGCTCAGGTGAGAGAAGATTTCCTTAGACATTGTTGGTGCAAAGCAAAATTTAAAACACATCATTGTATTATAGTCTGGGTAATGGTATTACCAATGAAAATTGACAACTTTTAATTTGTATCTATCTTCTATCAATTATTTAATTCCGTAAGCGAATCGGTCCCCACAATATCTCAAGCTAGGAAAAAGCAGTGGCGGCTCCAGGAATAATTTTTTAGGGAAGCCTGACAAAGGATCAAGAAAGGGTTTGTTGGGGGACAAAAGGTTTGAAGGGCTTTCCCTCTTCAATTTTAAAATATATTTTAAAATTTGAATGCAAAATAATGAGTATGAATGCTTTTCCTATATTTTCATATGATTAAATTTCTATATTCATCCATAATTTTGAAATTTCTACCAAAATGTTGGGTAGGCCCGAGCTTACCTGGCCTGCCCTCTGGAGCCACCCCTGGAAAAAAGGTAGCATAACTGTTGAGGATTAATTTCAAAGCTTATGGTCCAAGGACAGTGGGAACAATATCAGAATTGTCAAAAATTACCCCTGCTCTGCCTCACATGCTGTCGAAGATCCATTCATTTTCTAATCCAAGTACTGCTACAGTGTTTTCTATATGCTGTTTTAAATATACCAGCTGATGTAAACATTGCGTATTTGTATGTTTATTGATTTTAGTCTTCTGTTTTTAGGTTAGAATGGTAATGCAGTGTTGAAATGTATCGTGTTAGAGGAAGACCGTGACTAAATTTGTCAAATAGTGTGTTTTTAATTTTAACTTGTACACGTAACCAAAAATATGGACCCCTAGTTTCATATTACTTGTAATAATTTATTTATTTGTAAATACCTGTTTATGGTAATCCATGGATTGCACATAAAAACTAGTTTTGCCACAAAAAAGTGCCATATTTTCAGGTTACGCAAGGACATATATTTACCATTGTCATCCAATCCAGTTGAAAACCAATCAGCTGATTTCACTAGATGCAAATCTGACAGTAGTTCTACAGTTCTAGACTCAAAAAGTAAATCTTTTCGTGAACTTCATCAGATTAATGTTTACTTGTACCATTTAACTGTTATTATGTTTTTGTGTTAATACATCGATGTACTTCTTTGTTTTTAAAGTGACTCTTCATTGAAAGACAATTTCTTTGTAGGAACGTCTACCTCTTACCTTGTGTATTAAATAAACTTAAAATTTAATATTTTATTTCATGAACTAATGTATTTAAGTTATGTTAAAAACCAAATTGTGTGCTTTAAAAAAAGTACCTCATTAAGCTATACTGTGACTGACAGATTGTCAGGTCTGTCAGTCACTGGTCGGCAGGGTTCATGGACCAGGAGACATGGGAGGGCAGCATCCACGAGGCCTACGTAGACATCATCAGCAAGGCCAAGCGCTACGTATACATTGAGAACCAGTTCTTCATCACTCTAGCTTCGCTCCAAGTGAGAAACCAGATAGGTGATGCGTTGTTCAAACGGATTCTGCGTGCTCATAGGTAAAATACTTTGAATGAGTTAGGGTAGAAAGAAAATATTCATGTGCTCTAGGATGAGATTATTTTATATGACGACATACCAAGGTTATTTTAAGATGAAGGACGAGTGTTGAGTGGATTAAATGATAGTTTTATTATTGATTAAGTTCAGATGGTTCAGTCGCCAGGACTATGTGTTAAAACCCCTATAATCAAGAATAGCTAACTCAGTTTCAAACCATACAAAATTACAGTCTCATCTCATAATCAAACTGTAAATCTTCAAGGCAAGCACTGTATAAACTCGGCTAAAAGTCTTGTCAATTAGGGTGGCGTGTAGAAAGGGAGAAAACTTCTCTCACCACTCTTATATTCTGAATATGTTTAGATGAGATCTATTTGCAATTTTCAAGACGATTGCAAAATAAATGGTATCAGCAATCTGATACATACTTTCTCCCATTAGCTTGTCAACAACCTTAATCATGGGTAAGTGATGAGCGTAGCTATGATATTTAATAGTAAAAATCACAAAAGTTGCATTAACTTTGGCTCCGCGACTTTTACAGAAATGGTTGCACTATTTTGTTTAGAATTATAAGGACAAGTATTGACAAATTTCAATAAAAATTGGATTTTTTCAAAAAATCCATTTTATGTTTTTTATGGAAAAATAACATAAGTTACAATAACTTTGAACCATAGTTTTTACAGAAATGGGAGGTTGCACTATGTTGTTTAGAATTATAAGGATTATCACATAGCCTACTAATTTCAATCAAAACTTTTTTTATAAAATAAGATTTTTTCTTATTTTAAGTGTTATAAGACGTATCTTTCATTTACTTTCCGTAAATTTAATAACACGTACAATGCTGATCAAGAAGTTATTTAGGGAAAATGACTTAATTTACAATAACTTTTGAGCCGTAATTTTTACAGAAATGGGAGGAATACCACTTTGTTCAGAATTTCTGCAACACATTAAATTTTTATCAAAATCGTTCAGGTCATTTTTGAGAAAATCCGTTTTTTTCTGTTATTTTATGGGGAAATCAACATTAAAAATAAAAATTTAAAACCTGGTGATACTATGGATTAGCACCTACATACCAAATTTCATCAAAATCGGACCATAGGTGTAGCTGTAGCTCTGTACACATCCACACATACAGACGCACTCACACACACACACACACACAGACCTCACTTCAAAAACCACTTTTTTGGGTCCAGGTTGACCCAAAACTGATATATATCTCAGAACTGAAACTCGAAAATGTCGATAAAAACAATACTTTCTCCATATACTATGGTATAAGGGGAGAAATTAAAGCAACTTTGGGGGAGAAAGGTTCTAAATTAATTGCATTCTGCTTACCACTCTAAATGGTTTGATCAATACCCACCTGTTAATGAGCTCCAAGTTGATTGTCTAAAACTTCCAGGTTGAACTACTACCCCTCTACTATTTCCAAGAAGTCGCTTGGGCAAAATATCAAATTAATTGTGAACTTTTTTGTGTGCTGTTAAATGCCTGGGATTCTTTACTTTGGTAAGTTAATTGCATATATATCTATTCATTCTTGCTTGATTTGAATCATGACACTGGTTTTGCAGAGAGAAGACTCAGTTCCGAGTGTTTGTCGTGATGCCGCTGCTGCCAGGCTTTGAGGGAGAGGTTGGCAGTCCGTCAGGCTCGGCTCTTCATGCCATTACTCATTGGAACTATGCATCCATCAACCGGTAAGTCTACAAAATAATTTAATTAATTCTTACCCGCACAGTCAACAAATAAGTAAGCAGGGCTTAATTTCAGCCGGAGCACACCGGAGCGCAGCTCCGGTACTTCTCAGGACACTGGAGCGAAGCTCCTGTTATCTGGATTGATAATTTATTTTTGAATCGATCTTAATTAGCTGTAAATAGTATTTTTATTTTTCAATTGTTGACTTATGGTTTTCAATTCTTTGTAAAAATCGTGTCAAATACCGAATCTTTACTTCAGGGCAAAGTATTCAAAGTTTATTATACAACGGGGAACGGTGTTCCTACTTGTAAGCCAGTCTGCCGACAGTGCCGTCTGCCGACCAGGTGCCGACTGCCACTGACTGAGTCTGTGTTCGTTCAGATTGATGATCTCAGTCCACTGACTGCGTGCTGCGTGATTGGATTGGATTGGATTGGAACAGTGGAGTGGATGTGTAATATAGGCCTATGTCAAATTTAACTCTCAGAAGAAATAAACAAAATAACAAAAACTGCATGAGAAATACAACGACAGTTTTCATAATAAAAAACTGCATGGAATGGCATTTTACAACCCAGTTAGCGGGATTATTGTTTTGGTCGTGTGGATACACTGCATACTATACTAAGTGCTTCTGCTTAGTTGCTGGCAAACTTCTTTAATTTTTACACCTGTTATATTACTATTTTGTATATAATATAATGCTGTATATGTGCATTCTTAACCATGCTCAAATGTGTTTAAAATGCACCAATTCAAGTGCAATTTTTACAAAAATCTTCCGGGGGAGGACCCCCGGACCCCCCTCTTTCCATGGGGGGTATTCCATACCCCCCAGACCCCCCGGTAAGTCATGGCTCCGGTACTTCTCAAATTAGAAATTAAGCCCTGTAAGTAAGGGAATCATATCCCATATTTATGGCCAAGATGGGAAGTATTTTGATTTCAATGTGTTGTACTTCATTCAAAGGACTGGCTTTGGGTACTGAGGTGCCGTAGACATCCTGTCTATTTGGACAAGCTAAAGCGTTTTTACTTGAAGAGGACATAGTTAAATAAGTCTCTAATGTAGTATCGTACACTACTGGTATGGTTTTAGCAAATTTCCCTATAGGGAAGTAGCTATTACCCACTGTAGGTCAGTTTTTGTCCCCAGAGGTCAAAAACACCACTAGTTCAAATTTATAAATACATATAATATAGATAAAAAATATAAAAAATACATGATTAAAAATAAAAGCTAAGTACCCTTTTTATTAAAACTCTTGTTATTGAACGACTAGTTTCAACATATATATATATATATATATACAGGGTGTTCATTTGAAAACTTTCCATATCTGTTGTGTGCAAAGGTAAGGCTTTTAACACTTGTTTGTTCTCATTTACCCCTAATTTGGACACGCCAAATCCAATAACATTATTTTCAATTTTGAAAAATGCCCCAAAAGGGCCCAATTTGGGGGGTAGGGGTGCTTTTTGAGAAATTTTCAAATGTAAACATGGGTTGTGTGATACATAAATTTAAAGGTCTAATCACCCCGATCATTTTGGTGCAAAAAAAGTTTAATTATCTTTAACCGTATTTACAGGGTGGGTCAAAACGTTTTAAAAAAGGACTTAGAAGTTAAGTACCGTATTACCCTAACTACTGAACGGAACAGCGCCAAATTTCTTTCCAAGCTTATTCTTGAGCTACCCTTTAAGATAACTTGTAGTAAGGGCATTTTCCAAGTTATTTTATAATTTTAAAAAAATCCCAAATTTTAAGAATAAAAGAAAGCTGAAAACTCAAAATTCTTAAATAGCAAGGTATAACAAATTTCATACCACGTGAAAGGTCCTTTTTTAACAAACATTTTACGTATTTAAGTTTTCTTTCTATCTCTTACCGTTTAAAAATTGCAGTAGAAAAACATAATTTACTATGGTAAAATTGTAACTAGTTTTCTAATAAAACACATTGCACTTTGTTCAACGATGTAGTAGGATTCATAACAAATTGATCGACTACTTTTACGTGTGTCAGAATTCATCTTGGACCCCTCATCCTGTTCTTTTCTCATTGGTAACTGAGCCAGTTTCAGAAAACTTCCTAACTAAATCATTTACAGCCATATGACTTACCTGGAGGTCTTACCTGGATATCTATTGTTAAACACTTTGCAGTTATCCTGGAACACTTTTGTTATGACCAATAAGTAAAATAAAGTCTATTTTCTTAAGTTTACACCATATTTGATTAGGTACGACAGGAAATGGTACTTTTGAAATTAATACTACCATTGACTAGTCAATGGTACTACAGAAAGCGGCCCACACTTGGGTTTTTCTCATCAGCTATAAAACTTGTTTTTCACAAAGTAAAACGTAATGACTTGTTTGCCTATCTGCCTAAAAATAATTATGAATTGTTTCCTTCAGTTATTGCACCATTTAATGTGTCTATTGACGAATTTTGGCTGTTTTATTAGAAAACTAGTTACAATTTTACCATAGAAAATTATGTTTTTCTACTGCAATTTTTAAACGGTAAGAGATAGAAAGAAAACTTAAATACGTAAAATGTTTGTTAAAAAAGGACCTTTCACGTGGTATGAAATTTGTTATACCTTGCTATTTAAGAATTTTGAGTTTTCAGCTTTCTTTTATTCTTAAAATTTGGGATTTTTTAAAATTAGAAAATAACTTGGAAAATGCCCTTACTACAAGTTATCTTAAAGAGTAGCTCAAGAATAAGCTTGGAAAGAAATTTGGCGCTGTTCCGTTCAGTATTTAGGGTAATACGGTACTTAACTTCAAAGTCCTTTTTTAAAACGTTTTGACCCACCCTGTAAATACAGTTAAAGACAATTAAACTTTTTTTGCACCAAAATGATCGGGGTGATTAGACCTTTAAATTGATGTATCACACAACCCATGTTTACATTTGAAAATTTCTCAAAAAGCACCCCTACCTCCCAAATTGGGCCCTTTTGGGGCATTTTTCAAAATTGAAAATAATGTTATTGGATTTGGCATGTCCAAATTAGGGGTAAATGAGAACAAACAAGTGTTAAAAGCCTTACCTTTGCACACAACAGATATGGAAAGTTTTCAAATGAACACCCTGTATATATATATATACAGGGTGAGTTTTAAATGAGTTCCCCCCTACTTTTTTCTACATTTCTTAAGATATCAACTCCGGACCACGTCAGATTATTGTAGAGTAGTAAGTACTTCATTTTGACTGTGTATAAATGTTTGGCCGCCATCTTGGATCCGCCATATTGGATACAAAGTTTTTTTTTCAAATGTAAAGGTAGGCTTGTGACCCATTGTTTCAAACTAGATTTTTAAGCTGAATACGTTGTTGCAATCCGTTTAAAAAAATCTTTATCCATTCTAAAGTTATGAGCACTTTTTATGACTTAATTTTTAGCCCATTTTAACATTGGGCATTTACAAATGAAGACCATAATATCAAAATAGTGCTAGATAAAGATAAGTATACACCACCATTCATTATCGTCCTTTATTTACTTGGTTATGACCGATGTATTTTATCGGCCGCCATCTTGGATCCGCCATTTTGAAATGTTATTAATTATTTTAAATATGAAGATGGTGTTGTGACCCATCATTTTGAACTAGTACTTTTTTATGCTGAACTGGAAATTTTATGCTGGACAAATGGAAATTGGCTTGCTGCAGCGGAGGTATTTTTTTCTTTTACAGTTTTTACACTAAGATAGTTGATGCTTTGCAATGAGTTTCATCTTTAAAAGCTATTAAAGGCTATTTAAGCCTAAAAAAATACAATCAGTATGAGGGCCTTACTCAAAATCTGTTATACAGAGGGAAAGATTCTTTGATGGTTCGTCTGAAAGAAGCCGGAGTCCCTGATCCTTCAGAATTCATCACTTTTCACGGACTTAGGACACATTCTGAACTTAATGGAGAATTGGTATGTGTGCACACAGTTAAGTTATGATAAGTTCTATAAAATTAGTTAACAGAAGTTGTGGTTTTAAAACCATTCATTCCCAGGTCTGGGCATCAACGCCTCTTTACCTTTTACTATCTTTCCCTAGTTCATTTTCCTTCACCATCTGCCATCCCACTCATCTCTTCTCCACACCACTCTTCACCTCCTTCCATCTTCTTGGCATTCATCCTCCTTTATCACTATCAACTATATTTTTCTTCAAATTCTCTCTTCTCACATGTCAAAATAATCTTACTCTTTCTATCTAACCTCTTTTTTAAAAATGGAATTTTGAAAATAAAGAATAAGCTCTTTGTGTTATATAAATAATAATACAATATTATTGACGGAGTGAAATTTGAAAACCAAATAACAATATGCAGAATAATTTGCTGAATTCTAATAATAGACTCAAAGCAATTCCAACTATGTACACTTGAAAAAGTAAGATCTTTCTTGTTAGGCTTCTAGTTTAGTTTATGGTTGACAGAATTCAATGTGATAAGGCTGCCACACTCTAGCCCAACCCTTGAAGTAACTTGTAAATTAGTGATGTGCGTAAAGGACTGGAAAAGATCGATGTTTGGTATCAATACGTGGGAGCATATTGATATGCCCGTATCGGTACACCTATAACCAATATCGTATTGAATATCAAATTGTTTATTTATTAATATAAATCTAATTTTTAAGGTAAGTAGCCCTTCCTCCCTCAAATGTAGTAGTGGGAATTCGATATTTTACTCTTACCGTCCTCAAAAACACCGATAAAACATGTATTTTCAGTTATGTTTTGCAAATAACCTCAACACTGGGGCCATAATTATTGGAGGTGGCACCCTCATTATCCATATTATACTATTAAATGTGTAAGTAGGCCTACCCACCACCACTATGTACTTTTTCTGTACAGCATAACCAGTACGATACGATATCTTCCGATACGGGTGAACAGAGATACACGAAGGTTCTGTTACGATACATTGACTCGTATCGCACATTACTACTTGTAAAACAATCCTGAGCTAGAGCTAGAGCATAGCATTCTAGGATGTGAAAGTGGGGAAAATCAATGTGAATGCTAGAATGCCTCATAAACCAAGATTATTGTTCCCTTAGTTATACATCTTTAAATTGATTTGACAGGTGACTGAGTTGATATACGTTCACTCAAAACTGTTGATCGCAGACGACACAACAGCCATCTGTGGTTCTGCCAACATCAACGACAGAAGCCTGTTGGGTAGCCGGGACTCTGAAGTGGCAGTTGTAATACAGGTAAAGGGCAAATGATGATTACATATTTGTCTTAGGGGATATTCAGTTTTGACGTTTTTGTTTAGATGAGTGCTGCAAATAGATAGATAAACTATTTGTTACATTTATTCAGATCAGAACTCAAGGCACAGCAGAATTGCAGGTGTTCTAGAACTTAGCTTTGCATAACTAATTTCTTCCATTGTAACTATTTTTAAGAAAATAACTAAACAAATAATACTGATGCTACGTATTTTTTTCTATGTAGGCTACCCTGATTTATCACTGTTCTCTTAGGAAAAAGGGGGATGGAAGTGAAAAAGGGGAAAGGGGTCTTACCCAGTGTTTTGTTTGGTACCTTTTATCTTATCTCAATTTATAGTAACTAGTGATACTAATAGACCTATTATACGAAACAATGGTTCTAGTAAAAATAAAGATTCAAAAATTCTTGTAACAAATAAACTAAGCATATTACAGATAATTCTTTCTTGCAATTTCTTGATATTTATCTAAATTGACTTGTAGACACCTGGAATTAAGGATATCCAGTAGATTTCTAACAAAGATGGTCTGAAGTAAGACCTAAAAAAATGTCAAATTTTGAAATAACTGAAGACTTATTTATAATAGAACTTAGATTTTTTTAAATAAATTATGTCCAATACTTGGTTTTTTACTAAGAGAACAATTCAGATTCTGGCTTTGTTGCTATTCAGTAACACATTGATTTTAGCTGTAATCGTGTCAGGTTTTTTTTTATTATTTTTTACAAAATACTTAAACAGAAGACTTTGTTGTTCCCATAGTCTAAATGTTCTAATACGTTCATAATTAATTCATTTGGTTTACTAATGGTTTGATGTGTTCCTCACAGGATGAAGAGTTTGAGGAGGTGACGATGGGTGAGGAGACTGTGAAGGTGGGTTTCTACTGCGGAGAGCTTCGACAGAGACTGTTCAAGGAACATCTTGGACTGTTGTCTCCAGGCAGCAGCTCTGTGGACCTCAGTGACCCAGTGTCTCCTCAGTTCTACCATGACGTTTGGAGAACCACAGCCAAGACTAATACGGAGATATTCGAGAAGGTGAGGAGTTGGAACTACAAATTGTCTACCAAGACACAATAATTATTTTACTGGGGGTATTGCAGAAGTCATCTGATAATCTAGGAGGTCACTTAATCACTGGTTAACTGGAGGGTTTACTAATTTTACTAGAGGGGCCACATAAGTAACAGATTTTACTAGGATGTCTCATAAGTCAATTTTTACTGTAGAGGTACTTGAAGCTATCTATTTTAACAATTTCATGTAAATTAAATATGTACTTTAAAACAGTTAATTTTATTTTTATCCTTCAAAACGGGAAGAAAATAATGAAAATCGTATACATTTTTCTCTTAACTATTTATGAAGTCCAAACAAAATTTTTAAACAGTTAATTTGATTTTTATCCTTCAAAATGGGAAGAAAATGAAAATCGTAAACATTTTTTTACTAACTATTAATGAAGTCCAAACAAAAAGAAATTTTCACTCCCATTACTTGGAGATCAACTCATGAATTCTTTCTGAAATTCAATAACTGTCCCTAACAGATAAACTACACATTATTCAGGAACATTTAATGGCATAAGGTCAATTGAATGTTTTATTCATGTCGCTGGTAGACACCCTTACCTGATGTTCTAGGTTTAATTGTTACACCAAGATGTGGTTTGCAGCAAGAACTGACAAATTAAGTTTCTTAAATTGACTCTAGAATTGTTTGGAGCTATTTGTATTTAGTTTGTTTAAGCATTAATATTGTTAGTACAATGAGTAAGGATGTTAAGTCTAAGGTATGGAGTGATATAATTTGGTTTTATCCTTGACTACCCAGCGTGACGGATTCTCTTTGTTTTAGGTATTTAACTGCATCCCCAGTGATGAGGTGACCAACTTTCAAACACTACGCCTCTACCAAGACAAAATGCCTCTGCACTGCACTGATCCTTCGTTTGCTGAGAAACTCATGCAAGATATCAAGGTATTGACACTGGCAGGTGCTGCTTATGAAGAACAATACTGCTTTCTAAGCTTGTTTTGATGTAAAACTTATTTAAAGTAAGCTCTGTTCCTTTGATTCTCCATGAATGAGGTTATCAACATTCTTTATCAACCATGGTTATCAACAATGCTTTTATTAACAAGACAGAAGATTTGACAATGGGACTGATGGCCCCGAAATTATAGTCATCATAAAAAAGACGACTAGGATTGAAGAGGTAAAAAAGGTATTTAACCTATTATTAGTACTCTTTATCAATCCAGGAGGCAAAACATGGATAAATTATCAACATTCATTGATTGTTTCAGGGCCATCTTGTTATGTTGCCGTTGAACTTTCTTCGAGACGAGATCCTCACTCCGAACCCCAGCTCGGTCAATGGTATGATGCCTACCACCCTTTGGACCTAGATAGACTTGCTGTACGTCACAAGGAAACTACATTATTATTGCAGTTGAAAATGACAGTACATCGTCTTAAGAAAGCAAAATATTGAAAGTTACCACTTAGCACGGCAGCTTTTTGAAGCTTTTATAATAGAAATGGGCCAATTCAGATTCTTTATACTTGTGACTTATTATTCAATACTTAATCTCCAGAATATTAGTTGTTACCTATTTTATTGGCTTTAGTTTTTTACTACAATTTACCATTATTTGTCTCCTGTGACCATAGTGGAATTGCCGTCCACTCCTACACAATCAGGGTTTATTTTGCAGATTATAGTGCAAGATTCTATCCTAAAATAAACCCAAATATTCAAATCCTGAAAAAAAATCATAAATAGAATTGTCCCCCAAATAAGGTTTTGACCATCTAAAGGCGGCTCCAGACATGCACCATTCGCCAAGCACCAAACAGCAACTCGCCAAATTTCGAATAGTGTGGATAGGGGTTTGTCTATTTGGCAAGCAGCAAACATTCGTGCTCTTGTTTTCCCGTTTATTGTCAGTATTTTCGCACACATCAAAGTGAACAAATACTTTTGCTATTCTCAAAACAAACAGTTGCTCGCAAAACAACACATGTGTGTAGTTTCTTCTCGTTAATCGGCGAATAGCAAGACAACTAGATCTCCGAAAGTCAAATATTTTGTCCTTTGAGAATGGTGCATGTCTGGAGCTGGCTTGGTTATGGACTAATTAGGGAAAAATATACCAGCTATAGTTCGGCCGCTTAGAAAGCGACCTCCTCCAACATTGGTTTAGCATTAGCGCGCAGGTCGTTTTCTAAGCGGCCGAACTATATCTAAAAATTTAAAAGTGGTTCTGTTAATAAAAATATTCGAGTCAAATAACAATTCAAATTAACACTCGGTAACATTGTTAATATCTGACAATCTTAGAATCGGCCCATCACAACTTTTAAGTCTTAATTTTTCTAGAAGCCAATGATAAAAAAATCTGCTCAATATCTTGAGAAACTTTGTAAGATAAAGGTATATGGTAGTTGTTGTTTTTAGTTTTTATTTTGATTATTTTTAAAAATATTTTTCTACAAAACTAGAAGAAACTGTGTGTAAAACAAGTAAGAGTGAAAATGTTTCTATGTTGAATTTGTGATTTAGTTTTGTATGAAATTTTAAAATCTTAAGTAATTGAGTGTAAACTAAATGTTTTTATATGTTTCTATTGCAGCTTTTAAATGTGAATTTTTGTTTTGTTTTGAAATATGTACCTGGTTTTAAATTAAGGTTTACTTTAGTATTTCACTTAAGATATAATTCTTAAATCCAAATACACAAAAAGGAGATAATTCATGGAAAAAACTAAAATGTCTATTCGATCCACGTATATTTTGATCAATGTCTATAAGTACAAACTAGAATTATAACATTTCCATTAGGATTATTAATTATGTAGGTACTTTGGTGTAAATTAAGACATTTTCATTCTACCCATGATAGTTTTCATTGTGCTTTTTTATCCACTCAATAAAATAAAATAGAGCCTCGATTACCTAGAGTACCTAATAAAGAAAAGGCTGATAGCCTTAATAAATCAAATCTCAATTGAATCCTTGATTCTACAACATGTTGTGTTACCTCTATGAATTGAAAGGTTGACAAAGATAAATCAAAGCTATTGGATCCTTTGAGATACTACCGGTACCTCTAAAATTTGACGGTTTTATATAAGTTTTTCACTTTTCAGTAAAAGTTTTGGTTACCTTAATAAAATCAAAGTTGTACAGTAGTGGATAAAATTCTGTAGTATGTATAACTGATGCTATCTTGACACAACTAAAAAAAATGTAATAGTCAAATCATCAAAAAATAACTGGAACTGGTGGATGATTGACTGATGTTATTAGCCAATAAATAGTTTGTTAACGTCCTGATCTCTAAAAGAATATTTTTGTCTCTAACTTGTCCATTTAAAGATGAGTTTCATTTATAATTCCAAAAATGAACATTTTTAATTCTAACTTTTGTGTTTTGGAATGTATTTGAATTTGCTTGATTTTGAATTTGTCGTTAGCCTTAGGATTATATACATATCAAGATTCCGCTGTAACTGGAAAAATATTGGCAACACTTCCTTTAGTCTGTAAAAAAATTTAAGCGGTTTGAGGGGAAGTTCCCCCGCCACTTTATTTCTTAATTATGCTGCAGCTTTTAGAAGTTTTGGCAAACCTCAGCTGTTGAGCAATTGTTTTAAATGCGTGATCAATTGGAGGGACATATTTCTTCCCTTAAAACCACCTTAATATTGTGAATGGAGAATAGTTAAAAATGTAATGGCGAGTGTGAGATATTTTTGAAAACCAAATTATAACATCTGAACACTTCTCGCAGAAAAGAAATCTGCTTACTTAAGTAAGCTATTGGCACTAAGTCTCTGATTGTCAATACTCACAACTATATGTAGCATTATAGAAATGCCAAAACTTAATTTTTCAAGCAGTATTAAGTAGTATAATCTTCTATGATCAAACATTTTACCACTATGTAAGTACTTCTGTAAATATTATTCTAGATGTGAAAATATTACATTGTATTCAAGGCTCATAGATACAAAGTGCCTTTATAAGAATATTATACTATTTTTAGTATATGGAAAACAGCTACCCTGTCTTATTGTATATGCAAATTTTCTGATGTTTTATTAAGTAAGTATGGTATGGTGCATGATATAGATGTTTATGATCTGTGACTTATTTCTACCCAACGAAGAGCTCCAGAACTATGTTTGTTATACAGTTTTATTTTTTTTATGTTCACCAATCATATTAGAAATTATATCAGATTTCTTTTTTAATGATCTGTGTATACCAAGCAATTTATTTTTGACTCTGAATCAAATTTAAGCTTGTGATAGAATAGTGCATAGAATTTTCTTGTTACCCTCCATATCATGTTGTATTATTGACAAAAGAATATGTATTACACCCTTAAAGGTAAGAAATGAAAATAGGTTTTATAAAATGAGTGTCACATTTTATACATCTTTTTTTGTTGTCCGGTTTGATCTTAGACCTAATGTATTGCTATTTTCTTTGCAGAATTCCATTTTTATTGAAACTCTTGTTGCCTTATTCCACCTGGCCTATATGGCTTATTGGTTGCCTATTTTTGTAATGGTTGAGACTGTTGAGAGTTGAGTCAATCGTTAACACTCAACTCAACCAACAACAGGATTTGGTATTTTTGAAATCCTACAGTTGAGAAGTGAGTTAGTGATCCCTAGTTTAGTGACTCGTTTGGAAATTAGTGGCAACACCGCACAAAATACAGATGACATCAATTCTGGATGGATCCTTTTCTCAGCTAATCTGAATCTCAACTTAATCTGCCATATTTCGAGAAACTAAGGTAAATTGTCAGCTCCGTAGAGATTGTCAGATTGAGGTTATGTCTTACTCTTAGTGATTGCCAAAGTACCTTGTTTAAGTATTAGAAATAAAATTAACTAAGGAGGCTTGTTTCAGGCTATACATCATTATAGGTATACCCGTATGATAAATTATTTGCTTTCTTTGTCTCTATTTAAGAACAAACCACCTTAATTTAAGTTCCTTCATCGTTTTGTTTCTGGTTATTTATAAATATGTTTGATGTTTAAGCTAAAGCTATATTTGCCAACCAAAAAATATAATTTGATTCATTTTCAAGTTCTTACTTCAATTTAAGATGTATTTCACCAATTATAGTCATATAATCCTATATATTTTGGTCTAAGAACCTTCAGTGAAATACCGGCTTTCATTTAAGCAATTAGTTATTTGAATCTGACGAGTTTCAAGCAAACACAAGGTGAACAACCAACATACAAATTATTGATGGGATAGTGACTATTTTAATGTATACTGTCCAAACTTGGTCTCAGAGATGACCGAGTGGTTTAACTGGCAAAAATACTGGCCATCCATTTCTAGGATGGTATATGAACATCTTTGACATTCTCTAAGTTGGATTGTAGTTTGCCTCAGGGATGGATAGTTTTAACAATCTGAAACATCAGCCAGTATTTTTGCCGGTTAAACAACGCAGTCATCTTTTTAAGACCTGAGATTCAACAACCTTTTTTTGACCGAGAGCCTCTCAAATATGTTAAGCAAAAAAGTCTAGAAATGAAGGACTTGTAATGAAAAATAAATTTAAAGTCGTATCACTGGAAATGTAAAAAATAACAATGCTACACCAGTACTATAAATTTATATTTACAACAATGACTTTTTATCTACACACATTCCCATTGACATGTTATTGTATTTGAAATCGAGAGATGGGTCTTGGGTTAGGGTAGTCGTATGGCTTGTATTTTGGTTTCATACTTTTAATTTTTCCAGCCTCTTTGTAAACTGAATCTTGTTGTACTGAAACAATAAAATATGATCTTGAAAATTTCACAAGTTATAAAATATTTTCATACTTAGGTTACAAAAACAAACAAAAATTACTTTAGGCTACCTTTCCTAATTATAGGTAGAAATCAATTTAAATTTACTTCAATATCAGACACAAAAGTAACATAACCTAGAGTTTACACTTGCAACTATATTTATTCAATACTGCTGAAATCTATAATTAATTGAAATGTGCTGCAACCTGTAAGCAACAGAAAGCTGCAGGGAAGCTTATAAATCACTAAAAATCATGACTGTGATATCACTATACATCCTTTCAGTGATTAACTATACTGTACTGAACAGAGTAAGCTTACAAGAGGAAAAGATTCTCACTCTCACAACACTCGATGAGCTACAGACTACCCTCTCCCAGCTCAATACAACTCATTACAGCAGGAAGCCTACCTACATGGCACAAAAGGTCGTCAATAGCCTGCCCAACCACTTAATCAATCTTAAGAAATCAAGACCTGAAGAGGAAACTCAAAGACTGGCTAATGGATCTACCATTCTACTCACTAAAGTAATTTTATTTTTTGATTGAAATTGTTAAGCAAGATGAAAATTCAAATTATTATTTTATTTTATTTATTTTACATACCAACGGACAACTCCATTTTTACATTAATACAACACAACAAGATGGAAACAATATTCATAACAATAATATAGCATTCGCTCTGGCCTTATTACAATCTATCTAATTACAATCTATGTATATGACACTAACTTACCTAGATTTCATTTCTTTCTTAACACGTTCGCTACTGCAATAGTACGAAATTTTTCATTCACGTGGACCAGCGACGCACATATGTGTCGGCCGGGTTCCACCCATAGACTGCCGTCGCATATATGCATCGGCTAGTCACATTAAAATAGACTGCCATCGCATATTTGCGTCGGGATTCTAATGTTATTAAAATGCTTATATCTTTGTAACGGTCTATTTGAAGGCACTGAATTCCAAGCAGATGTCTGGTCTACAGAGATGTCTGACGCACAACTGCGTTGCTTGGTCTGTGGATATGATGATTGGTGACGTCATATGATAGTTGGAAAAACTGGTCTTTACTTTTCTGCATCACTGTATGTATTTATGCAGTATGTATGCTGCATTATCCTATGTAGCTTTTATATTTGTTCAGTTATAAACAACCGTTCGGTTATAAACTTGATCAATCTGTTTTTAGCGAATTTCCCTATAGGGAAGTAGCTATTACCGTAGGTCTCATGGTAAGACCTAAGCCCAGGACCGATTTACTTTTTCATTTTGATGTCCCCAGAGGCCAAAAACACCATTCG